TATATTGTATTTGTTACTTTCAGCATTTTTTATGTCGCCATTTCTTTGTATATTCCAGTTGATTGGATTAAACTGATACCAAACCTGAACCTATTGACTCTATACCAGGTCACCGTTGCACCGTTGAAACCTGTACCTGAAGGGCAGCTCTGTCAGATGCAACTGAGCCATGCGGCGGTCAACTTTGTCGCGAACCACCAGTATGGTAGGCTTGTCATGTATTGTTTTACATTACCCTTTTTGTAAGAGCTACGTGCTTTACTGCAAGTGTTGTCATCAGGTACAAGAAGAGGAACATAATTTTAGCAGGACATTAGCGTGAGCTATCTACAATTTTTTGCGGGAGGATCTCAAACCTACCATACCTCACCGGATGTGCACGCCCGAGTTATCTACCATTCAGTACCTGTGTGTCTTGCTGGCCATAAAGGTCTTGCTGGCTTATTAGGTTTAGCCATTGAAGGCTATTATTACATACACTAAAAGGACTCCAGAATTCTAGTACTTCAGTCTCTGCATTTCCATCTTGAGAATCCGTTCGCAACAGAGAGTCGCCACAGTAAACGATTTTACAGATTCCCTCTCTAACTCGGTTCAGCTGGCGAGAGCTTCTCACCCAGATGCAATTGTCATAGTTGGGGACTTCAATTCCAAACACGAAATGTGGTGGCACCTGGACCAAACGACTTCTGCCGGGGCCAAACTATTTCAAACCACTCAATTTCTAAATCTTACTCAAATTGTTGAGGAGCCAACTTGTGATTTATCTCAGAATCCTTCTCTTATTGATTTGATACTCACGGACGCTGTTAACTATGTAGATACTACAGCGATATTGGCACCCCTATCAGGATGCCACCATAGTCCGACTGTCTGCTCTATGTTATTTTCTGTGTATTCCCCCAAACCGTACTCACGTATTGTTTGGGATTACCGGAATATTGATTTGGATAAACTATCTGTCTTTTGTTCACACCCTAAATGGTGCGACATTTTCTCTTGTTTATCCGTCGAGGACTCTGCTGAAAAGCTAGCCCAATTGATCCTAGAGGCCAAAGACCTGTGTGTTCCTAGTAAATCCATAGTAGTTAGACCGAGGGACAAACCTTGGATAACTCGCGATATTCGTAAATCAATGAGATTGCGTGACAAACTCCATAAAATTGCCAAACTCTCCAATACCCCTATTAATTGGGCTGCCTACCGCAGAGTACGTAATCGACTTTCTAATGCTATATCTAATAGTAAATCCTCATATTATAATCGTCTTGTTAACTCACTTGATGAACCATCAACTCTAGGTAAAAAGTGGTGGCATATTGTGAAATATTTTTATAAACCGAAAGTTACTTCTACAATTCCTCCTCTTAAAGAAGGTGCTTCTTTAATAGTAGACTCAGCAGATAAGGGCAAAGATTTTTAATGGTTATTTTGTGTCACAGTCCACTATCGATGATTCAAATGCTTCTTTGCCACCATTTCATTTTCCTAACTGACCAACGTTTGTGTGAAATTACCACCTCCGCTGAGGAATTTGTCTTTTTGTAGGTAATTTAGACATTTATAAGGCCCATGGCCATGATGATATCGATAATTAGTTCCTTAAAGTTATTACACCTTTAATTGCCGATAAGATAGCATATGTGTTTAATCTTTCTCTGTGCCATGGAATTTTCCCTGACATATGGAAATTTGCAAATGTTATTCCTATTTTTAAAAAGGGGGATCCCCAGGACAAGTGTAATTATCGCCCGGTTTCCTTATTTCCATCCTTGTCAAAAGTCCTTGAAAAAATAGTTTATAAACATTTGTACATTTATTTTATGTATAACAACCTCCTTTACCGATTGCAATCTGGCTTCATACGGGGCGACTCGACTGTGCGTCAGCTGGTGTATTTTACTCATTTAATATTTGAAGCCTTGGATTCGGGAAAGGAGGTTCGTTCAGTCTTTTTAGATTTTTCTAAGGCCTTTGACAAGGTATGGCATACTGGCCTTGTGTTCAAATTGCAAATGAATGGCGTCGAGGGGCCCCTGATTAACTGGTTATACAGTTATATTGACAAGAGACATCAGCGAGTCGTTCTCGATGGCCAGTCATCTAATTGGTGCTGTGTCCCTGCGGGTGTCCCCCAAGGGTCTGTTCTCGGTCCCTTACTTTTTCTTGTATATGTTAATGATATTGTTGATGGACTAGTCTCTCAGCCTTTTCTTTTGCCGATGATAGTTCTTTGCTTCAAGTTGTTGATAACCCATTACATGCTTCCGTCTCTCTCAATTTGGACCTGGAAAAAATCTTCTTATGGTCTACTAAGTGGCTGATGGAATTAAATCCCACAAAAACTGAAGAAATTTGTTTTACTTCTAAAAAAGTCCGTCAAGCCCACCCCCCACTATTTCTTAATAATTCTGTAATAAAATCAGTTTCCTGTCATAAGCATATTGGGATTATTCTTAGTTCCAATATGTCTTGGCATTTTCATATTGACAGTATTGTTTCTAAAGCTTTCAAAAATGTTAACCTATTTAGGGCCTTGAAATTTAGATTACCCCGCCATGTATTGGAAAAAATTAACAAGTCTTTCATACGTTCATTGTTGGAATATACTGACGTTGTCTGGCACGGGTGCACAATCGAGGAATCAAACCTCATAGAAAGAGTTCAGTATTATTGCTCCCTCGTTGTGCCTGGTGCCACAAAAGGTCCTCATATTCTTTAATTTGTCAAGAGCTCGGCTGGGAGACTCTGTCCGAAAGGCAACACATTCATCGCCTATTACTATTTCATAACATTGTAAACGGATGTACTCGGGAATATCTTTCAGATTTACTTCCATGTACAATTACTGCTACTTCTATCTACAATCTGAGAAACAGTAGTAATCTGAGAACCATCAAATTTTCTACCAATCGTTTTGGAAAGTCTTTTATACCATATTCCATCACTGGATGGAACAACCTGAATTTAGAAATCCGTACTCTTTCGTATCCAAAATTTCGTTCAAATCTTTTCAAATCGGTACGTCCTGTAAAGTTAAACTATTTTAGCTTTGGTTCTCGTTATTCCTGTATTCTCATTACCCGACTTCGTCTGGGCACCTGCAGCTTGAATCACAGTCTTTATACCCGAGGTCTTGTTACAAGTCCATCCTGTAGCTGCGGGTGTCCATATGAAACGATTGCTCATTATTTATTGCACTGCCCTATATACACCTACCAGCGCTTAGTCCTTTTTGGCAAGCTTTTAAGCATACTTGGTAATATTGTTGATTTAAACACTCTTTCTGATAATTCCATACAATATTCAGTTCTTCGCGGTAGTTTCCTTTGTTCGTATGACACCAACTGCAAAATAATGTTAGCCGTACAAAATTATATATTAGAAACAAAAAGATTCTAACTGTATGTGTTTTCTGGGATGGGAGGATTGTTACCCACGCGAGGTCTCATGTATTTTTAAATGTCTTGTAAAATATTTTTCTTTCATTGTAAAAGTGGCTGCGAGAATATAAGTTGTACCTAACTTGAGTTCGCAGTCACTTAGTCCATGTATTTTCATTTGTAATTCTCATTGAGCTTCTGAATAAAAAAAAAACAAAAAAAAAACAGAGAGTCACAAGGGACTGACGTGATTTTATATTTATCCACTCTGGCAAGCAAACCTTCCTCGCTCAGGTCTTTTATTGCGCTCAATAAAGGTAAAATAAACAAAATTAACCAAATTAGAAAGGTTTCGATCCTACCTGTTCCTTCTACCCCAAAGATCTCCAAAATAGACCAAAATTATCAAGAGGAAAAACAAGAGTCCGTTTCGTTCTTGTTAGAAAGAATCAAGTGCTCTTAAAAGCTGGCATTTCGGCTAGGTTCGTTATTTTATAGGGTTTGTTAAGTTATTGAAGTAAAATTTGCGGAAGTATTGTTACCGTAAATTTAGTTTGTTTTCAGCAATTGACTTTAAGATGATAAAAATGTTTACTTTAATAGTTGTTACTTTTAAAGTTGTTACTTTTATAGTTGTTACTTTAATAGTTGTTTAAAAGTTGTTACTTTTATTAATAGTTGTTTGAAACTTGTTACTTAAATAGTTGTTACGTTCAAAGTTAAGAAGGAGACATCGATCAGTTTTTTTCATGTTTCAATGGCGTAATTTAAAATGGTCTGCTGTGGACTGCTACCCCGGCTTTTCGTATATTTCTAGTGATGGCCTCGGAGACGCCAGCAATGTAAGGTAGAGTCACATGGCCCTTGGGTCTGGTGTCTGTGCGGGTACGCGGGTGTGGGGTCGTGGGGTAAGTTTCCTGAGTGCCCGGAGTCTGCCACGCCCATTTGGTATAGCCTGCTACCGACAGTACAGTCTTCAGGTGTTCATACTCGTGTGTATTGTCTTCTTTTTCTGTAATAATGTCTGCCCTGTGTCTAGCTGTTCATATCACCCATCTATTTTTTTCAACTTTGAAACTTTATTCACACACCTTCTTGCAGACAATAAGTCTGAATTGACAGGCATTTACAATGATATAGATTAAAAACGTTAAGGAGTTAAAATAGACAATGAATCAAATTCGGTTTGAAATCAATAAATATAAGTGTGAAAAAAACTTGTATAGTCTTCTATATATAATACAATTCATGAGGTCACGTCGGTATTTACAGATTGTCAGTTAAAGTGTTTGTTCAGCAAGTTTGTCATGTAAGGTATCATAGAGTTTTTGTGGCGAGTTGTTCTACAGATGGGAGTGTCCAGTTTGTTAGCACTACGTGTGTTTCTGCCGGACATCTGTTTACGGAATGGGGGTAACCAGTCACTGAATTCAGAGTTGAGGAGTTTCTTGGCGAAGGTGAGGCATAGGTGAGTACGTCGTTCTGCCAAGGGGTCAAGGTTCAGTGTAGACAGTGCTGAGGTGTAGTCTGTGAACTGTGTGCCCAGGATGATTCTGCATGCTCGTTTCTGTTGTCGTTCTAGCCTTGCAGACTGTGTACAGGTCAGGGCCGGGTGCCACACCGGTGCCGCGTATTCCGTAGTGGGTCTGACGTACACGATGTAGACTGTTGTGAGGTCTTGTGTAGTGACTCCAAACCTCTTCAGTCGGCGTAACAGGAACAGTTTTCTGTTTGTGGCGCTGATCATGTTGTCTACTTGTATGTCCCATTTGAGGTCACTTTGTATTGTCACTCCCAGGACTTTGATGTGAACAACTGTCTCAAGTGTCTGTCCGTCAATGAGGGGTGGTTCAGGAGTGGGTGGGGTCCTAGCATGTGGAGTGCTTTGCACTTTCGGGAGTTCATCTTCATTTTGTGTTCTCTGACCCAGGTACTAAGGTTGTCAAGGGAGGTTTGTAGTGAACACTGTTGGTGGAGGAATCTGACTTGGGTGAGGTTCATGTCATCTACATATTTCCACCTGTTGCTTAGCTCCCTGAGTGCACTGTTGATCAATGCAAGGAAAATAATAGGACCCAGGATGGTTCCCTGTGCTACACCACAAGACAGATGTTGCCAGTCCGAAACTTGGCCATGGTAGCGCACACGCTGTCGTCTGTTGGACATAAAACTACAGATCCATGGTAGGAGGGATGGTCGCACTCCTAAATCAATCAGGCACTTCACTGCGGTGGTATGGTCGACCAAGTCGAACGCTTTAGAGAAGTCAGTTGTAATGAGCGTACTGGTGGTGTTAGGAACTGACGATGATCTGTAGAGAAAGTCAAGCATGCTGATCAGGGCATGAGTGGTCGATCTGTTCTTTCTGCATCCGAACTGTCCGGGGTCCAGGTTGGTGGATATGTCCTGCATAATCCAGTGTGCGGCGAAACGTTCACAGTGTTTAGCGAGCTGTGCAGTGAGAGAAATCGGTCTTAACTCGTTTATATCAGGTGGAGAGGTTTTGGGAAGAGGATTAACATTTGCTTCTGTCTATTGGCGAGGGATGATTCCTTCTCTGAAGGACAAGTTCATCAGTTCACAGAAAGGCCCGCTGATCTCGCATGCAAATTCCTTCAGAATCAGGGCTGGGACGCCGTCAGGTCCAGGGCTCTTGCTACAGTTCGTGGATTTGAGTTTTGTGAATGCGTCCCACACGTGGATGGTAGGAATAGGATGTGCCGGTAGGAAGGTTGGAAGCATAGACATGTCCAATGGCGGGAGGGACTGTGATATACTGGCGATCTTGACATTGATCGCGTTTGCTATGGCACTGTAGTTGTTGTGGTCAATACCTGGTACTTGGATATGGCAGGCTTTCTTAGTCGTGTTGCACATGACCTTGATCTTGTGGTGCCAGGATTTGGGGTTGCTGTTAAGGTGGTTGTCAACGTTGACGTTGTAGAACTGTTTTTTTTTTCTTGCTTTCCTGATTTCCCGTGCTACTTTGTTTCTGTAGAACTTCGTCAGTGTTGTCGAGCACCCGGATTGAAAGCTCCTCTGCCGCTATGTAATGAGCTGTTTTATACATGGAGATATCCAGGGTTTGTCGTTTGGGTGCAGCTTGACCGTTTTGTATTCCATAGGTTGGTGACTGTCAAACAATAGGTACTGGTCTTTATGGGTTGGCTTGCGGTAAACATCAAACTTCATACTACCATCCTCCTTTCTAGATATCAGAGTGTCCAACATAGGTAGGGCCTGATTTACCTCAGGTGAATGGCGTCTGTGGAATGTCTCTATGTGTCTAGTCCTTATCACGGCACCCGCATCGTCCACGTACCGGACCCAAAGTTTCAGACTCGGTGAAGGTGGCCAGGCCGGCATGTGTCTCAAACCACTCCATGAAAAGGTTGGCGACAATAGGACTCACAGGTGAGCCCATGGCAGCGCTCTACCTGTGCGTAGAACCCCCCTTCGTACTTGAAGTATGTTGTTGTGAGACACAGGCGGAGTAGCTCCGTTATCTTTTGATGAGACAATTTGGTACGGCCCGTCAGGGAGGAGTCATTGACGAGTCTCCCCTGGATGAGTATGAGACTTTCCTCGAAAGAGTGCAGTAACGTCAAAGGACACAAGGCTCTCGTCCTCGTCCAAGGTGATCTGAGACATCTTCTCCATCAACTCTACACTGTTCTTGAGGTGATGCTGAGTTCTACCAAACAGGGGGGCGAGGATATAACGAAGTTGATTTTCAACTGTTTTACTGCGTGTCTGGTCTTAAAATTTAGGAGTTATATATTACGAATGAGAGACCAAAATGTACCAACAGTCTTAAAGCGTAAGCCACAGATGTCGTGGTAGAGGTCTGTAGTCTTATGGAAAAGTTTAAAATTGATCATTTCTTAATGCTTCGTTAAACAAAGCAGATATTGCAGTTTCCTGAGTGCTGGCCATGGAAAATCGAATACTTTAATTTCATCAAAAATGGGCAAATAGACAGCAAGTTTCATATTTTCATATTTCACCTTCATAAGGCCCTTGTGTCAGATGACTTAACCCGGGGACGAGAGCAACTCGTTCCTATGATGTTTATTTGGCAAACAATATGGCTGCCGTGCGCACTAAGCGATGCCGACACAGCATGAAACGTCGGGGATAGGCTTTACAAACATCGTATATATCTATATCGGTATTTAATAGGTTTAAACTTTCAAAGTCGAAATATTCTTACCTGCAAATCTTTAAAATCACACGCATTTTGCACATTGCACTTTGATATTTCGAGCCATGCATTCTTAAATGTCTTGTGTGCTTACAACGCCATCTACCGGCATTGGTGAACCTCTTCAGGTTACTAACATCATTTACGTGTTTACTTCATTTACTCGATGACTGCATTTATAAACATGATCAAATTTCTTTTTTTGACAACGCTACTATGATCTGGAAGGTTAACGCCATGATAATAAAAAGTCTTGGGCCCTTGTCGTCTTAATAAAAAGTACTCGGACATAAAAAGTACGGATGGATGCATGACCGCATGGTTCGCCCGCCGTTAGGATGTTACTCTGCTACTCCAAATGCTACGCCGAAATGCGAAAATATACGGTCTTTATAGGACATATCGTTATCGTTCAACAGAATGTTATTCCTTACAGGATCACCAATGTACGGGGGCAAGTGGGACTTCTCCAAATGGTGAGATATTTGCATCCCCCAAACATCCAACCGATTTTATGTTTCATTTGTCATTCCCTGAAATCCAAGGCATCAATACCTACCTATATGAAAAACAGGAATCTTAAAATTTAGCTTGCTTTTATCTTCACGAACTCTGTTGTTCAAAATGCCCAGGTTATCATTCATCATGACGCCACACGGAGAAGTCATCTCGATCTTCTACCCGCCAGACGAGGACAAAGAAGTTCTTGCTATGAAGAAGGGGATTCTGGGAACCCTATCCGCTCGCCTGCATGACGGATCAGAAGTTGGTATCTAAAAAATAACTTTACTCTGGACTTTTCTTTCTTAGATTGTGGATAGTTGTGATGATTAGAAAGTGAAAAAGTGAAAGTGATCTCGAACCAGTTTAGCTCATTGAAGAGCTAATCTTCCACTGGTCATGACAGAGAAGACAGATGCTATGTACAGTATTTACAGGTTCATTGTACCGGGGAAATTCCCCTAGCTCTTTTCGACAAGCGCAGTGAACAGTGGACCACGTTTAACGTCCCGTCCTAAGGACTGCGACCCTAAACAGTAGCGTGCATGTCGGGTGAGCGACATCAGTCGGGATTCGAACTCGCAACCACTGAACGATATAGTCCTGATTTTCCTCAAATTTTCAATCTTGCTGTATGCCGAACATGTCACTTCGTCATGGGTTAGGGGTTTCGGTTTTTTTTTTTTGCGCTTTTAAAAGATCCATCTTACTGTGTTATCTGCCTATACATAAATTTGTATTCCAACACACCTTGTTAGTATTAGTTTCTAAGCTTACCATGTTTCTAAGTTTGTATCCTAATCATTACTTCCTTGTTATGTTTTTTTATTCATTTTTATCTACACTGTATTTGTTTAGTTGTGGCGCTAAGATAAATTTTGTAAACTTGAGTACGCCCCACTATGTCTGTATTGTATCGTCACCTGAATAATAATAATAATAATAAAACTCGCAACCTCTTAGTTCAAGGCAGGATCGCTAACCACTGGACTACACACGCTACATATGTGATAATGGTTGTATATATATAGAATACAACACGGTGTATTCCGGATCCGCATCGCCCGAGGTACCAGCCCGACCGCGCGTCGGATCGCCTGACGACCGAAGGCCGAAGGAGGATCCGATCCGCGGGAGGGCTGGGACCGAGGGTGATGCAGAATACACCGTGTTGTATTGTATTTATGTAATATCCACCCGAGAAAACACGCATTTGAATGCGAAATGAGAGAAAATTTGGTGTCCCTAAACAAAAAAAAAATTAACAACATCAATTCCAACATCCGTATTCTGTATTCAAATTTTCGAAAGCGCGCACGTTAATAGTTCTATGGAATATTTGTAGGCCCGGGCCGTGCGCGTTAATAACCCCGGGCCGTACCGCTAGTTATGTCCTACCTGGGCCGCGATTACGTTCGATATGGGTGTTCCGGCCCGTGTGATAACTAGCGGTACGGCCCGGGGGTTCTTTACGCGTACGGCCCGGCCCTTCCAAATGTTCCGTGGAACGATTCGAACGCGTTTCGGCTAACCGCGTGCACCGATTTCGAAATTCGAATACAAAATTCGGACGTTGGAATTGATGTTGTCGCATTTTTTGGGTTTAGGGACACCAGATTTTCGCTCATTTCGCATTAAAAGGTGCGTTTTCTTGGGTGGGTATGACATACATGTAAATAAAATACAACACGGTGTATTCCGCATCACCCTCAGTCCCAGCCCTCCCGCGGATCGGATCTCCCTCCGGCCTTCGGCCGTCGGGCGATCCGACGCGCGGTCGGGCTGATACCTCGGGTGATACGGAATACACTGTGTTGTATTCTATATTTATCACACGGGCCGGAACACCCGTATCGAATGTAATCGCGGCAATCACGTCGGCAGAACGTACTGCACCTGCGCGAAACCCGTAATGTATTGTGCATAGCATTTCGGCAGAATGTCTCACATAAGGTCGTATTCGCACATATAAGGTTAGCATTTCGACAGTAGTTTCCAAATGTTATGTCGGAAAAAATATCATCTGCAACAGGCAAAATTCTGATGCAACGTTGACCAAAAACCCAACGAAAAACGCGAAAATACGTGTCAACCTCAGACATCATTTTCTGTCGTTCTTTAGGGTTCAACTGGGAAAAAATGGAGATACGAAGTTGATGAGAAGGGTTACGAAGGTACAGTTTATTTATTTATTTATGGACAAAGACATGCTATTAAATTGAATATAGAGAAGGTATTGACCGAGCTGAAAGTTCCTAATTATTTCTTTTCTGAACACTTTTTACATTTGCAAGCTTATGGCAAACTTTACCATTGTCAGATGATGTAATGTTAATTGTTTTGAATTTTTTAAAGAAGGGAATAAACAAAGTAGTAATAATAAATCTTTTTACACCTACTTGACTGTGTTGGTCCGGTGCACCTACAATAAGCACAACAATGCAGCAACATTAAACGCTGCACAGCATATAAACCTTTTTCCCACCATTTAGGCAGGAGTGGAAAATTAACGCTTTACTACCGTGTAGGTCAACACAGGGCCGGGTACAGCGCGGAAAGGAAGGGTGACCACACCGTGTTCAAAAAAGAAAAGTACGGGCATGTGATTCCAAACGCAAAAGCGACCCACAAAAAGGTAAACAAAAACAAGCTAATTTTCTTATTAAATACATACTACATCTACATCATTGTAAATTCCTTTCGCCATCCTTTACCTTCGGCCAGGAGTCTGAAGCTTATACCGTAAACCCAAATGCATGACAACTGCACAGTCACATTTAGAGCTGTAAAATGAGTCATAAATTGAATTGACCCAACTCTATTTCAATTTAATGTAAATTTTGCCAATTCATGATTTTACTGTACTACAAGAAGCTTTGGTCTTCCACAGGACATTGTTTATAACCACGACACGGGTGTCCCTCACACCATTAGCGTTACGGAAAGTGTTGCTGCACCAAAGGAAGCCGCCCCAGGGTAAGTTGCTTGCAAATTAACTATTGTATTAGTACCTCCGGGTTAAAAGGTATTATCATGTAGCAAACAGCCGTCGACCAATCAGAAGGCTCAATTTCCGATTGGTGGGCAGTTATTTGCAGATATTTGGACCGTACCATTATACGGGGATATATAGGACACTAACAGTAGTGTTAAGACTTGTAGTATTTGTTAAAAGTCGTATCATAATTTATCTTAATCAATATTTGTTTTGAAAATACAGCTCAATTAAAGGTATATACTAAATTTTAACAGAAAAATACTAAACATGCCTTATCCTCGGTGTATATGGTGAGATAATCACTGGTCGGGTGCGATAACCACCTCATAAACCACCTCTTTTCACTCGGTTTTTTATTTGGTGGTTATCACATGCGACTAGGGATTATCTCACCATATACACCTCGGGTCGGGGCATGAACCCTTTATTGTTTCTGGTTTTTGTGGCGGGCCAGAAAAGCTGGAATATCATTTTTCGTTAAGATTGCCATTTGGTGCAGAGCGTCATTAATACACTCCAGTTTGGATCGTATTTGAGCGATTAGAGGTAAACATGGATGCCTTAATTTGTCAGACGCTAACTAAAGATTAACGTCATTCGGCAAAGGTAAGATCTAGAGATCGTGGAACTATAGTTTCAGGTGTTTGTGACCCCCTTCAGTAGAATTTGGACAACAACTTCCCAAACCCCCTGTCAGTCAGAAGGTCTGGTTGTAGGTAGTTGAAAAAATGAGGTAACATCAAGGTACACTTAAAGGAGTACTAACCTCCAGAAGGAAGTGCTATTTTCCGATACATCATGCTGCAATGAATACATAACTAGCCGACTTTTTACATAATTTCGCTTGTACGACTTGCGCGGCGCATGTTTGTAAAGTGCTATTAATATAATTTTCCCCCATGCTGAACCACAATTGATACATCCGGGAACTCTGGCTTACGCAATACTCATACGCTTCAGGTCAACATACACATTTTTCGGCGAAAATAGGAGACAAGCACACTAACAAGCTGATTATTGAGAAATTACTTGCTTTACTTTGCTTGACCTGTGGCTTGGATATTATAATATCAGGATATGGATGTCGAATACAGTGGGAGACAGTTTCATCCTGCGTGTTTTGATTTTCTCAACTTATTTGCATGTAAGTATTACTTGAACAGATAATTAGATTGCACCTCTTATGGACAGGATAACTAGATTACGCCGACTTTTTCATCGTCAATATTTGCGGCATAAATGAGGGGCGATAAGGACACCAAGAAGGACAATTGTTGGTAGGATATCAAAGAACACAAAACGGTACGAATTTTTCTTATCGCCCCCGAAATGAGGTCTGTAACGTAACTTTTTGTTTAAACATAGACACCAATGGGGTAGCGTGGTGTATTCTGGGATAGTTTTGAGGGTATTTGGAGAGTTTGTCCTGGATTCGATGCGTTTTAAGACTTGCGCGCAAAATGGGCATTTAATTGTATACTGTAAAATAATATGCATTTTTCACTTCCAAAAATAAATGCCTGTCGAAATATAGCACCCCCTTCCGGAGGTTAGTACTCCTTTAATAACTTTCGTGAACACAAATAATTGGTCAGCACATCTATTAAAACATGCTATATTTTAACAACTGACTATATTCTATATCTATTTAAGGTTCGAGGCAAAATCAGGCTTGGACGATGTTACCTTCGACTCCAAGGAACAAACCGGTACAGTGTAACAAATGAATCTTCTTTTCAATACACAGCCAGAAAGGCATAATTTTTTAAAGAAAATCAATACAATACGCTTCAAGTTCAATACAACACATTGGTCATATAACTTTTTTGTGAGAGGGCGAAAATTCATCCACGACGCGACTACTGAGCTACATCATCTACTGATATTATAGTGTGTTCTTGATTTTGAACTGTTGAGTCCGCACTTATATTCAATTTGATAAAGGAAAGATATCAACGCTGTTTTTACCTGTGCAGATGTCTTAGGCGCAGCTCCTTTTCATTACAGATCTTCCTGACATGGATGCCTCGTCAAAATCCTCCATGAAGTTTCTGGGTATTCAGAAATCCACGAGGAGAATGTCACAGCCTAGAACTTTAGTGCAGGACACCCTCACTCTCCATCAGGTTCGGTCAATCTGTTTGCATATTAATCTTTTTTTACCAGATGGTTTAGTTGTTTGTGAGTTTGTGATACAGATTAATTCCATCGGTTATATCCCCTTTCCAAGGCTTCATGATTATAAATATAAGCGTTAACTGAACAAAAAATGAATAATTCAATAAAATTCAATCAAAGGATAAAAAGGGCGTTCATAGTCATTCATTTTACATAACGATGATTATTAAATTCTAGAAAATTAGCCTAACATCCATATGTTTAATGTTGTTTATTATTACGAAGGTTAATGTCTTCCATTTTTATCTTTATTCTTTTTTTTTTGCTTAGTGTTATAATGCCATGTAAAAGCCCCGTATAAAAAACTTCTGTTTAACATAGCTACCAGGGCCACGCATGGCGTATGACGTGATGAAAGATTGGATTGCTGGGAACCTGACCTGTATGAGAACTGTACAACCAAAATGTAAGTTGGCAGTTAATTTTGCGGAAATGTAATGGACGAAATATATGAAAAAATGCACATAAATGTCATGATCAATGTAATTGGGACCGGTGTTATTTGACGGCTGAGATTCCCGTAAATATAGTAAAGTAATGAATGGCTAAGAATATACAAAAGCAATATTAGTCAATGAGGAGGATGTTTTCCAAAAATTGATGAAGGTTTTTTATCTGTTCACCAATAACCCAGTCGCACAATTTGAAACGGTCGTTGCCATATATCTTAACTGGTCAATACGAAATCTGAGCATACCATACGTCCTTGGACAACGTATAATATGCAACATTTCGATAGGAAATGTGCGGTGGCATAAAAAAATAAAGATATTAGTAACAAGTGCTTTTGGAAAAAGCTGGCATTTCGGCACGCTATCAGTGTGATATGTTGTACATCTTACATATGCAACCCTGCATCTGCTTGGAAATAACTTTCTAGGTATGTTTGAGTTGTTGACTCAATAGTTAGATCATAGATGCCACCAATATCTGCTTGGAGAGAACTCTTACATTTACCACCCTACATGTGCTTGGAAATGGTTATAGATATGTTCCTCTACATCTACTTTGACATGATGCTGTACGTAGACACAAAAAGGCTAGGGAGATGTACATGTATTTTGAGTTTGGGAACTGGCAGTTTGAACATTGAACAGCGACATGTGGCGAAATAGCACCAGGATCACGTATCAACTACGCCATCTAGCGACATGTTGCAAAACGGCAAATCTAGCAGGCAGAATGACCCGTTGTTGCATTCACGACTTGTTGCACGGTTACATACAATGTTGCTTTAAATGTTTATTTCGTAACATAGCATTTGAAATGCAAAAAAAGCGTAGATTCGAACACAGATCAATGAGGCTTATTCTAAAAAAACCTTTACTAGACGCGGAAATTAGCATTGGCACAAAAAGCATCAAAGCAGAAATCTCGTTTTCTTTCACAGCGTCGAGCCAAAGGGCTGCATGTTACAGACACATAGTGGACTCACTCGCCCTTCTGTCCAGTGAGGATCTACAACAAGTTGCGAACATCTACATCCGCCCAAATATCAACGAGACGTCAGACATAGAGAACAGAGAGGCGATTGTTGATAGCTTCGGCGCACTTGCTACCAACGACTCCCTCAGGATTCTCACAGAAACTGTCTTCCTGTCCCCGGAACCTGTTTTTGAGCTGGTCCAGAAGGTTTTAATCCATGTTGCAGTTCTTCAACATCCACCTCCGCAGGTAAAGATACGGCTGATCTTGACTGGCAGCTAGACATTTTTTAATGATTTGCAGCAATTGTTGAACATTTCCTACCTGTATAAAATGCTGCCGTTTTTTTCTTGTGTAGATCATCACAGACTTACTAGTGAGGCGATGTTTTGATGGCGAGCTCTTTTCCAAAGGTATGGATTGACATATGTAAGTGAACTAATAGATACCGATTTGAACTGATTGATTGTCCTCCTGAACTTTATTACGTAATTATTTTTCGTGTTGTTATAATCAGGTCATTAAACCTGACTTCTTCAACGCTGTTGTCGGTTTTGGCCCAGCTGGCAAAATCGCTCCAGGTACCGTATGTAGGGCGTAGCAAAAGGGTGCGGCTCAAACAGTAGCAAGGCCCAGAGTATAATCAAATAAATGTTACTTCCGCACGTGGGAAATACTCCCAAACATACATATACGGGACCCGCTATTTCACTATGTACGTGCAACCCATATATACCTTACAAGGGAGAATTAAATCTACGGCAATCTGGAATTGTCCTGGGGAGATAGTAATTCCAATCTCCCCTATGACTTTTCAAGATTACCTTGGATCCCAATCTCCCCTTCGACATAAATATGGGTCTTTAACAAAATATAGATTAGGCCACACCAAGTAAATTTTATGGATGACGTCCTTTGGAGACCCTACATCTAATGCGAGAGGGCGAAAAAAAAACAAGAAGGGCCCTAAAAAACAAGATGCCTAGATTAGAAATATACTAAGAGACGACAAATGTTAGGACACAAATTGAATGTGGTGACACAGTGTAACAAGCAAGAAGTCTTTTATTCATCATCAAAACAGCAATAAATCAGGTGGAACAGCAGTTGTCGTCCTGTCCTGTTCTCGCGTTACGGGTTTCATGTCAATCTGACGATTTGTGGCACTGTCGTGACTCTTTGGTCATAGTTACAGGAAGCAGAATTTCTTGTTTTTTTTTTCTAGGAACAGGCCAAAATCAATGCGCGCGCGGACGTCATCCATAAAATTTACTTGGTGTGGCCTTAGGTCAATTACGTGTATGATCTAATCTATGATACTACGCGCATGGATTGCAGTTGGTACAGGGACAGACTCGGATCGGGATCTCTACAGGTAGAATCATATATCCTACCATATCAGAGTCTTCACCTGACATATATCTATATAATAAACCACAGCCAACGAATGCAATGTTGTGTATTGACTTTGATATTCCCACCCAATAGACCCACAGGAAGATCACAAATTAAGATCCCAGGGTTTCCTTGTTCTTGGAGTCATTGCCAAGCTGTTGAAAGAGAAGGATGATAAGCGTTCAGATGTCATCGTGAGAAAGCTGGAGGAGCACCTGGAGGTTTTTGGTACGTACATCTGCACATCGACCTATTCTCATAATTTTTAATAAAAGATTTTTAGTAAATATCTAAAGAAGGTAGGAATGAAGTTCCATTGAATTCACAAATGTTACTCATTCTAAAGACGCTGTACGGAAGCAAATATTTCACCATGCCAACCATAGGCAGACAAAGTAAATTGCACAAATGCGTGTGCCTTATTCTTACTGTATGGTCAAAGACACCAAGCTCGTTGTTATATGCAAACCGCCAACTTGTATCATCCGTTCCTGTAGATCCGTGGACCCACAGAAGCCGTCGTTCTGCAATGTCAGCAGAAGAAACTAAGGTCCATGACAGATACAAGGCGAACCTCCTCGGAGCTCTCGGTAATGCCGGATGTGAGGAGTCCTATCATCACGTTTTGTCGTACCTCAACACCACAGAGGCCCCACATGTACTCCGCAGACACGCCATTGCTGCGCTAGGTGGTTTTCATAACATGAAGGTATTCTTGAACTTTCAATTTGTGTGTGTGTGTGTTTTGTGTGTATGTGCGTGTTTGTGCGTGTTTGTGTGTGTTCACGCTTTCGTGTCTATGAGTATATATTCATGCGCGCGCGCGCGCGCGCGTGTGTGTGTGTGTGTGTGTGTGTGTGCCTTTGATATTGTCGATTTGTATATATTTGCGTGTGTGCGTTTGTTCCTGTGTGTGTCTTTGTGGCTGTACACGTGTGTTTTGCTATTACTCAGAAGATACTGACTAGAAGCCGCTTGTTGTTACTCAGGCTGCCTACAAGCTACTTTCCCTTTCAACTGACGACGACGAGGACATCCAGCGAGCTGCCAAGCTAGAGTTCCGGACTCATCCCAAAGCAAAAGAACTTGCTGACATTTATCTGCAAAAGACAAGGTAGACGCACACATCTTGTTTATTGTATTTTCCCATGTAATATCTACTCGTAAATATGATTTGCGGAGGGTACAGCTATCGGTAACACAAAAATAGAATCCATTTATGACGGTTTACATGTTTCATTTATGTCTGTTTTGGATTGATTAAAGTACCCAAATAGCTTTTGACCTCCATCTCCTGGAGGATAGCTTTATTTTCACTGAAAACGAAAACGGCAGTTTATTTGTTGGTTTGTGTGTTCATATTCTAGATTAGTGATTAAAAATGTCTTCACAGTAGCCAGTAAAATCACCAGCATGCACGTGTCTAGTAAGACTAAGCCTGGAATATGCTGCGACAGTATGGATTTGATAAAGAGTGTTTAAGCTATGCAGTGTGTGCCGTCATGATAGCCGATACAATCACCTACATGTACATAAACGTGACTTGTAAAACTACAAACCTAGAATGCGCCATGACATTATAGAACAAATATAGAGGGAGAGACAAATGTAGAAGCAAGCTGGAAGATTCTACACGCGTAATGCATGTGCCACGGAAAGCAAACAAATAAACTTAATATACAGCTGTGAGTGCCACAGCAGAAAAACTCTAAAGATAAAAGATTAATACCTCGCCTCAAGGTGTATATAGCAAGGCGATGGCCAACAAAAAAACCACCGAGTGAGCGTAGCGAACGAGGAACGACAACCAATGAGAAACGGAGCCTAATAATCGGTAGGCGTCTTCTGGCTATATAAAACTAATAAACTGCAGCCCGTCATGCGCGACAGATGTACTTAGAGGGGCGTGCTGGTTGGCACCTCGTTTGAGGATGAACTGAACAGGAATCTGGTGTATGTGTGCAAAGTACAGTAGAGGCACCCTCAGTAGATTACAGAATAATTAGATGTTAAAAGGCTAGGTACGATACATAGACAGGTCATTCAGTGCGATATAGTTAGCTGTTGTGGAACGCAGTAGGGCAGATGTACCATCTATTGTGATACAAAAACAGAAATGCAGATTTTGTATGGTAGATTGCAGCTGGATAGAAAATATCCCTGATTCTTATATATGTTATTGGCCACTTGCGTTGCTCTGATTTATATCTCTGCACATTGATGTATCCTTTTAAAACAATACCTACCAGCTTTTCATGTTATTTGTTCATAAAAGGGAGGTGAATGCTACCAAGGAGGGCATCGTATCCAGGCGGAAGAGGGACTTTTACGGGATCCCAGGCATCGCCGGCGTCGTGGTTGATGACTTCACTACACTAGACGACATAAGCGCAGCGGTTTACCACGATGGTTTTTACTTTGACATGCCTCTTCTTGAATTTGCTTTTGTTGTCTCCTTGGGGTCTCCAGCTATCGGCTCATCCACCGGCGTAATTTTGAATAATGGCGCAACACTGAGGACAGGTAAGGCCTGTGAAACAATTTTCAGAATGAATTGCCGTATATCCATTTTCTAACGTTATGTACAGTAATAAATAGACAAAATAAATATTTTATTTATCTATTTTAGCTTCGGCAATGTGGCCGGATAGAGGAAACAGCACAACCCCAAAAAAATAAAGACATAATAACTAATGGTAACAATAATAGAAACTCAAGAATCTAACACGGATTAAGGTAGTAGAAAAAAACTCGATAACCACTACAACGTGAATTATTATCAAATGAATAAACTAAAATAAGACAATATAATTAAAACGCAACAACAATAACATTGATGACAAAAAGTACAATATGAAAATTAATTCATACCAGGGTATTCAACGACAGTGAATGCACAATGTTTTCAATAACTCTTAGATGCCTTATATTTCTTCTTTTTTGATTAATTCATATCGTGCACTTCTTCACAGGTCGTAACGGTGCTCTTGTGTCAGGAAGGATACATGACGAAGTCTGGTCAGAGGCACATATCGGCATACTTGGGTTGAACTTTGACTTTTTCCGACTCAGAGCGTGTCTAAAACTGAGCATATCATACGACATCGACATCCTCCGGGTAAATCATTTACATCAGCATGAAAGCTCATCTCTGTTGTGACATATGCATTACGTAATTAAGTTTTTACTTTTGTTAAACAGAATAGACTGTTGCTCACCAAGAAGGTCGACGGGTGCGCGACCGAGAATTCGAGGAGGGCATCAGTTTATTGAGTTGAACGAAAGTACTAACTTTACTATGTAAACCATACATGTGATATGAGCACAAAACCCAGATTTAACGAAGGAGCACATGTCGGTTTTTCCATGATAAGCACCAAATACATATTTAACAGTTTCATTTTGTATGATACATGTACCTGATTTAAAATGACATTTTTTTTAAATTTTTTGGCCGATACCACAACCTGTGTTGATGTGAGAACTATATGCACCAACTCCCATAGCCGCACCTAATGTGCTTTCCACTGTTTTCGTAACAGATAAGGTATACTTGTAAAGGGTAATAAACAGTGACGCTTTGATATTTGAAATGTTAAATCGATAGCATCAGCGTACGTATGTATGACGTAGCAAATGTACGTTTCCGTACTTTTATTTGATAAGTTGTTATAAATGTTTTTATAATTGTTTTCAATTATAAAGTAAGCTGCCTTTTTCGATAATTTTGACCAAACATCTTCCATTGTATATGATTGGCCATGCGTCATGAGGAATCACCGTAATGACCAAAGTGACATATCATTATTGTACATCTACATGTATTGTACTATCAAATGAATTGTTTTTTTACTCTGCTGTCTCTAGGCATTTGGATACGATGACCCCAAAGAACTGGCGGCCCTCTTTGATAGGATCACTGGCTACTTCGTAACGCTTCTGAACTTAGTACAAAATCTACAAGAGATTGTGAACACGTACATTACGAATGTTACCTCTACTTTCAACCACCTTGTCCAAAACATAATGGCGACCTTGCAGATTGTACGCTCTGCTCGTGCAGCTGCTCTTAACTCCTTAGGAATAATCGACGATGCCCAACTCGCGACAGACCCAAATGTGGCGACCGTGGCTACCAGCGTGAGGAAGTCGGTCGACCTTGCGAGCGAGGCTATTCGTGAATACTCGGCTTTCTATAAGGTTATAAGATTTTCTGGTCGATTTTCATGTCAAAAGTGTAGACAGTTACACAATTCAAGGGGAATAATGTAAATAATGACTCAATTTACATAATTAATGAGGAAAAAAAGAAAACATCCTAGTACATTATATGTAATATGTGTAATCTATGGCACCTTTAACATTAACAAAGACAAATTACGTAAATTAACTAATTGGTGCATAATTAGTACAACAATGCTATGATTTGTTACAAGCGGATGATAGACATTTCATACTTGTGACGTGTGATCGTGAAATGTGACGTCACTATCCATATATTATGTTGATGTAAAGGTAATTTACATTACCTTTACCTTTACCTAGTCCCATGCCCATCCAGTCACGCGCATTGTTGATATAAAAATGTTGGTTCAAAACCTTGCCAACTGATAGAACTTTCACATAGGAAATATATGTAATTTAAGTCCAGAAAAGCATAATTAAGATTATGCCTCATGTAGTAATCACATTTCCATGATCCTTGAGAAAAATCCGAAAACCAAATGAAATTACAAACTTTAAGGCTCTAGATATTTTCATGTAGGTATGAGATCTCCGAATTCTTGTTTACCATGCATTTGGTTTTGAAGGTCTTAAGTGCGTACATTCAAACTACATTGCATTTTCAGCACTTCAGCATTTTCACAGGAGTTATACTTTTCATTCGCTTGCATATTTTGGAGACGGGGCTGCATTATCCAATAGTCTAATATTTAATTGCATTAATGTCAGGAGGGACAAAAATTCAAATCTTCCATTAGCACAATGATGTAGATCAGAAAACTATTTTTACCAGGCTTCTACAGATATTGCCGCTGTTACTCTCCCAATGGCAGTCAGACATATCAACGAGGGAATCCGGCTCATAGCAGATACAAGTCGCAACTATTTCCAGTCCCCTAAGACTGCAATGAAAGATGTCGAGAAGGCTGTTTTTAAGTAAGTCAATTATACTATTCGTAATTTTTCAGCTACGCTTTGTACTAAGTTTATATACACAAAATACAGGGAGGGGGTGGGTGTCTTAGGCTTATTTGGTTAACCCTGGGTTCCAGGCATATGCATATGGTTGCTTTCATTGAAATTTCATTGGTGTTATAGGATACAACAAGCCATGGAGGTTATAATCGAGGCCCGCTCTGTGTTGAAGGATGCTTCCATCAGAAATGGTGAGAATAAGTTCCGTACCTGAGGCCTTTTTTTCACTGTTATTCATATCCATGTTGAGGATCTGAATAGTTGTAAGAAAAATCGCGGGAGCTCGGACGTCAAAAAAACAGCTGTTTGTTTGCTTGCAGATGAGAGGCCGTTTTGGTCCAGCATCATCGAAAATGCAGACGAACTCAAAGATGAACTAACCACCGCCACGCAACTCATATCGGTATAACCCCCAATATACGGCAAACTGAATAAATAATAATCTGTGCTTTTGTTCTGTTTTTGTTTTCCTCTGTTAAAATGGTATACACGGTAGAAAGTGATTTTTAATATACGATAAAACTTAAACAATTGTTGTTTCTGAATTTCTTTTAGACAAAGCATACTTTTCATTGTCAGTCTGTATTCGTACCACTAAACATAGGAGGGCAGTCAGGAGGATAGTGGTTGGACTACAAACAGCGTCCTTTCAGAGGCTGCACGAGGTATGGCGACTGCATTTCAGGAAATGAATGCGTTTTCCAGAGCTTTGGGGACGACTTTTGAATCCTTGGACAGCAAACTTGCGAGGCTGAAAGAAGGCTGCAATGACCTAAAAAATGGGTATGCTTTTATAATTAGAACAATTATTTATACTGAAATTTGTGGTTGACGCATTGTTACCTGTATGGGTACATTCCTAGTTAATTTTGTTTTGCGATACTCATGAATACTGTCTGCAAAACATTGTTACTATATATATCTGCCCCGGACAGTCGCAACCTGTACGAAAATACTGTTATCAAAACTTTCAAATATGATGTAACAATCCCATCTACTAAAATACTACTTACATACTTATCAAGTGACTGAACGATAGGCTGGTTATGCCTGTGTCACATTGTCGACGAGCTTCGGCCGTATTTGTCACTCGCCGAAATATCGGCCGATTTTGAGATCGACCGACGATCGCGCGTATTTTTGGCTTGAAAATCGTCGGTCACATTGTGCGAGGCTCGGGCGATCGCTTGGGAATACATCTATGATAATGAAGTCCCTATAACATGGCAAGCAGATGAAGCAAGGACAGTGTATCTACCTAAAAATGAATAGTCTGGCCAATTTTATGTTTGACCTGCCGTAATATTTTTAGCAAAGTGATGGAGCGGACTGGCAGAATAGAATAGTAATATGAACAGGAATTCTGTGAAAGATCCAACTCAAATACTACCACAAAAGCCACAAATTTACACTACCGTCTGGTTAACATAAAGATCACCTTCTTTAACCAAACGGGAGTCGGCCGAAGCTTGCTCGACACGAGTTACGGCCGAGTTACGGTCGACGATCTATCGATGCTCGCACGATCTCTCGACCATTCACCCAAAATGTACAACAACGTAATGATTTTCGTTATATCAAAATATTTGTATACACGTGTACGTGTACCTGAACAAAGCTAATAAGATATATTGTTCTAAAACTTGGCCTCTATACTTCTGTCTAAAGTAGTATGAATCTTCCGGTAAACAAGTTTATTATCCATTCAATGACATCAAGGTAGACAGAGGTAAAAAGACCCATGCAATATAAACTTCAACTAGTAAGAAATATCTCTCTATCACATGACGTTCTTGTGGGCACCATAAGAAATAAAGTGTAAAAGTCAATTTATAATACAATCTTCTAAAATAAGGCCACACACCTCCTAAAGGAACAAGAGGAAAGTCTTTCATGTGCGTTCAATCAATTGGGTTCAAAATCTAATAAGAATTTGGCCTTAAATATTGTTAAAGCCTTATCATTATTAAAAGTGTTTTTGTTTATTAACAAATGTTGATTTAACAAAAGTACAAAAAGGACTATTTTATCTATTTTTATCCTTTCTCGTAAACATAACGTTAACAATCAGTGGAGACGTTGCTCCTGCGAACTTCACAAAGCATACTGTCATTGCAATCTCAAATAAATGTCACAGGTGCTGAATAAATAATGACTTCACAGGAGCTCGGCGGAGGCTCGTAGAACCTTCGTCCGACACTGGCACGAAGCTCGCTCGAAGCACGCACGATTTAAAAAAACTTTGCGCAAGTCGGGAGAGGTACGGAAGATGGTCGCCCAAATATTTCGCGAAGCTCGCGCAAGGGTCGACCGTATTCAGCGACCATCGCCCGATTTTCGAAGACAAAGAACGGCCGAGACTCGTGGGATGTACGCCCGAATATCGGTCGACTCTCGGCCGTACAGGGACGAGCTACGGGCGAGCTACGCGCGAGCTGGAAACGAGCTCTGCGACCTGAAAATCGCCGGCGACTAGTCACTGATGTTAAGAACAAGTTTCATGTGTCAGCGAGCTTCGGCCGACTCTATATATCCCGGACGATCCCGAAAATTCGGGCGATTCTCGACGGAACATCGGGCGTACTACGGCCGTAAATGTCGTTTAGAGCTCGCCGACTCGGCCGATCGATTTACGCGCAATGTGACGACCCCATTACGCGAATACTGAACCTATTGTAGCTGCCGAGTCTCCTTTGTCCTCCAAGTAACCAAGACAAAAGAGACTCGGCATCTAAAATAGAGTAACCAGGCTAACTGAAAGAGCTAATATGCATTCACACCTGCACCAAGCCACACTATATTGAGTATGAACTGCATTCAAGTGTTTTGGTAGCTATGTCAAGCTTTTTCTTCTCCGGCATAAATGCTTTTTATCTTGAAAATCGACTATTTTCATTCAGCAGATGAAATCGTAACCAAAAATGTAGGATATGGCTAGCCAACTTTTGTATTCGTAGGTATATGTCACTTCATACTATGACCTCAATGTAAAACATTGTTTTCCCTTGTGTTTCACCTTCTTTCCCTACCATGTCTTAACATGGATTTAATTTTTGGGCCAAATGACCCGACATTTGCCGAAAGCGTTGCTAGATACCATGGAGGTATAGACCGTTCGAACAATTGACATTTTGGACAGGGGTGATTTAAGAACAATCCATTTGTGCGGGAGGGGGAAGACCCATTTGATATGGGAAATGTGGTGAAGCCAATTGCTGCATTTGCTCTAAAACAAATGTCGGCCTTTCTAGTTTTCATTTTGATCCCGTATTATAGATATCGGTCTGCAAAATCTAAGATGGATGAAGTATTTGGACCAAAGATGGACAATAACTTTCCCCGCCGACAACTACGACCTGGTCACAGTTGGGGATCTAAACGTTCCTGTCCCAGCACAATGGGGTACTTCCCTAGTGATGGCGATGGGAGGTACACGTTCAAAGGAGTTGACCTGGAGATCGGCGCTGGACGCACTGTAAGAAATTATAAAATTTCAAAATTATCGTTGTAATTCTCTTTTAGTGCCTACATTCATGATAGATTGGCTGCATTTATCGTTGGCTTCGGTGAATGAAATCTGGTTTGCAATGTTTTTTCCAAATACGGTCTCTTTTAGTTTCAGTTTATTACGATACCCATTAGGGCTAATCTTCCAGGGCTCATTACACATTACACATACAGTACAAAATAATACACATATGACTACAAATTTGCATACACGTTGAGGTCACACGTCAGACAAGGTACTAATTATAGCTAAAATCATGGAACAAGCAAATGATCGGTATAATTATTAGTATAAAACTAATATTACCATTACTAAAAGATTTCAATATATTATTAACAACTATCATGATAATTAAAAACCATTAAGTTGCATACATGATGTACAATTGCTCGATCAATCTCTTCAACCACCTCTCATCGGATACAGCCTTAACCTCATTTGCACTGTCATTCTTTGGTTACGTTAATGAATAATTGTACATCTTTGTTTACATTTTAGCTTGTAGCTCCATTTACTGGGAAGGCCTTCAGACCTACAGGTAGCACAGGTGAAGTTACCATCATCGCTGAAGAGCTACACGGCGTCCATGTTATCCTTGACAATGTCGATCTGTTTGATGAGTTGGTAAATAAGACGGTAAGCTCATATTTACCCTGCTTCTTAACTTATAATTACCCTGAGGGTCATACCGATACATGTTCGTGTTAATAATAACTTTTGGGCAGACAGTACTACTAGTATTACCTTTGGCTATACAGACCTATGGTTAGATACACTAAAAACAAGTTCTCATGAAAGAACTTTCTCATATTTCAATCTCAACAACTATTTTGCACCAAAGAGTCACAAGAGTCTCAAATATAGAATGAAAACAGGGTTAACCGGCTCAAACTCTGACAACAGTAAACAAACCCTACTTTAGACCTAATTACGTTCTTTATAAGGTTATAAGTTTATGATAGAATGTGACTAAACGGGATGAATTTCGATGTTGTAGTGTTGATGTTTTTACTGATATGTTTTTGTAGGTAGCTTGTAGTGTAGGTAAAGAAGGTTAAGGTTGGGCATTCTAGTAGCTTTCTAAGGTATTGCAGCGGCATTTTTAAGTTTAAAATCCAGCACCAAATGTAGGCCAAAGAACAGATGGTCACAACCGGAGGGGAAAGGTTTGTGGGCCGCGAAATTCTATATATTCTGGTGGTGGGGGGGGCAAGATATGTTAGCATGAAAGTTCATCTGTGTTGGTATACTTCATTATGTCCAAAATAGCTAAATGTTCTATCCAACACGAATAAATTGGGACTTAGCCCAAACTTTTGACCGGGAGGGGCGACACAGGTTATGTGACACGTACGATCCTTTGCTGCAATCATGTGTTCCCCGTGTCACGTCCCGAAAGCTGCTGTCGAAAAGGGTCCATTACCGTGAACAAGGTTGACGAAGTCGGTCGAAAATTTGGGGGTAAGTCCCAATTGACCCGTGTTGAATAGAACATTTAACCCTTTGGACAGGCAGCATATGTTGTTGACTTCTTCCCCGGGACATATATTCCCAGTATAAGCATAAACAGTAGATCACAGCTTAACGACCCTTCCTCTTTCCAGTCCCAAGTCAATGGATACACCAAGATGAAAACTGCACAGCAGTCCAAAAAGGAAAAAAATACACATCAGTCATCAATACAATATCATTCATTATGCATATGCCCACTAAACTTGTGAAATACACAGAATTTGACAAAAATAGGAAAGTTTGGATCCCGTTCCTTCTATCCCTAAAGTCTCCAAACTGGACCCTAGGGACTAAAATCGCCATACAAGTACAATTTTTGTCCCTCCACTGCCCAACGCAATAGTGACGCCTGTCCCGTTTTCTTCAGGCAGTAAACAATGACATGTCCAGACGAAAACTAGAACTGGTAGACTACACGTTAATCCTTCGAAAGTTACAACAATGACGTTGGCAAACCAGTTCTCCCACCATCTTGCAGGTATATAAGGGGGAGAGTCTCGGCCGTGTTCGATCGTCTCATTGCCAGCCTAACAGTATCCACTTGGCAATGGTGAACATCTCCAGAGAAGCAATGTTTGCCATGGACCCTACACCTTACCTTGAACAAGAAGAGATGCCGACTCCACAACTGAACCAGGAGTGCGGGGACTTTCTGCTAAGATTAGCGGTAAAGCTACATTGAAAGCCATATACCTATATGTATATATGATAATTAGAAACTATAATATTCAATTCAGTTTGTCAGGACTAGTCCTTTGCAGAAAAGGGTGTTCACTCTTGACAAGGGTTTACCCTATGTAGTAAGATGATGTTATCGCCATCACCGTTATGTTATGTTATGTCATGTTATGTTATGTTGTGATATGTTATGTTATGTTATGTTATGTTATGGTATGTTGTGTTATGCTATTTTAATTTATGTTATGTTATGTTATGTTATGTTGTGATATGTTATGTTATGTTGTGATATGTTATGTTATGTTATGTTATGTTATGTTATGTTATGTTATGTTATGTTATGTTATGTTATGTTATGCCGACAGGGCTTAACCATATTAGACGTTGACATTGACATCACTATGTCGGGTATTATGGATACGTCCCCGGTTCGCGTCGCCCCTATGGAGCTAACGGACAGCATACAGGCGCTAAATGCAATGGTTGGAAGCCACAGGGGAAAAGAAGGCGACCAAAAAACATTTGTATCTGGTGAGTGGTCTCTTATGTTTTATAAAACGAATGAGACTTAAGAGTCGAGACTTTCTGAAAGCATAGATAAGAATTTAGATAAACAATTCACGGAGTAATGGAATCCATCGAGCGTACATTTAATTTCTGCATTTTCCAATTATTTAGCCTTTGCAGAACAAGTTTAAGAGCAGATTTACTTGAAGCTAACGGACATGTTCACTATATGTCCAGTTCTTAAGCAATTTCGAGAGCAGAACGTTTTTGTAACTAAGAGCATTTTGATTTGATTATATGGAATACATCCGTGTGTGCATGTTTCTTCCTTTTCCAAAAAAAAAAATGTTTTGACAGTACAGTAAATCGTACAAAGCAGCGGCTTTGTGACGAACCGAGGCTACTACAGAGTGGACGTGACCTCTATATAACCTGAATTACCGCTAGAAGACAGTAAAATTCTATATTAAATACGCATACACATAGAAACCGTTTCACGTGTACTCGCAGATGTCCTTGGAATACAACACCTGAACAGGGAACCAACAATGGCTTTCTCAACCAGCAATCTGAAGGTGTCTGACGTTATTCGAGTCCTCGGTCAGCAGGGTCATACCGCGAGCAGGACAAAATTACAAGAGCTGGTGCAACAAGTTGAAGTAATTACGCCCATTACTGCCTGACATAAAAACATCGATTATATAGTTAACTTCAAACTGAGATATGTTCTTGATATAGCCCAAGACAAAATATAGTTATTAAAAAGCCAACATAAAAACGTAAAGCAGAAGTGTTTTCTGTCTGTTCGACATTCTGAATATGAGCATAGAAAATGCTACAGATGGCAATGATAAACCTATGTGAAAAATTGAATGGGCAGTTAATGTATTTCTGTTCAACATTGTTAACATCCTACTTATTTCCATCTTACTGCCTATGTTGACATTGTTTCCTTATATTTAGAGTTCTCTTGAAGCAAAACCATCCTGTTCCTCACCAAGAATCATGACCGATGGTCAACTGAGAGATGCTCTCAGCACACTGCATCAATCGACACATGGATCCAGAAATCAACTCATCCACCGACTTTACCAGACACCAAAACGTATGTTAATGTACAGCCGTTGCTTTGAGAAATATTTGTTTCTCACCTACACCTATTGTTATATTGGCTCTAGATTAATGGCTTTTCTTGTAAATGAAATTTTACTCGTTCTTGTTCGCAGAATTTTCTCTGTCTGGGTTTCTTTCACTGAAATGTGAAATCTTGGTCATTGCAGAATGCTCACATTTGGATCTAGCTTCATCCGAGACTTCCTTCTGCAAATTTGACTCCGGTTGTCAGTCGGCATCATGTTGTGTAGATGTTGTGCAAAACCACCAGACGCACACAATCACCGTCGGTGTCGACCTTGACCCCTGTACACATGTTGTACATCTCTCCGTGGGGTCATGGAGAAGGGATTTTACAGCTGAAAGTTTAGCCAGAGGTAAGCTAAGATTCAAACCATTTCATTCTAATGTCCGGAGAGGAAAGGCACATAATCGTCATCATGCATTTAAAGTTTTCTTGTCCCAGACCCCCGTCCAATCCAAGAAGCAAAATCTGCCTTATTTTCTGTTGCTCAACCACTGTGTATCTTAATCAAGTCGGACTGCTAATATTGTAATTCTTCATTGTACCTATTCAGTTTGCGTTTAATCCCGATTTTATAATTACTTCGTGTTTTTTTTTAATTTGTTAATTAACAAATGGGATCTCATTATAAGATTTTGTGTATAATATGTACATATGTATTTTTAAAACAGCTAAAATCTGCATACAGTAATTTCCAATCCTATTTACCACGTGTATCTTTAGGGCTTTTATAAATTGGCAGTTATTCCTTATGTCGCTCCTTAGGTGAGGCCGGGTCGGAAGAGGTCACGGACGTCTTTGGTTCGAAGACGCAACTTGTCATTGACTACAGCGTTATTAGGATGGGGGATGTTGTGCGGGTATGTAGCAAACTATTTGTACAACCGTCTTGGTTTTAAATGTTTTATTCACTCGTTCAAAAATTATTTAAAAAATGCAAAATAACATTCGTTGTTGCGGTACAGTATGCTTGGCAATATGCTAACACTAGAAATAAATAAAAATGAAATGAATGGAATGGGGGGGGGCTGTCTTCCTACTGAATTAATTATATCTAAGTCCCCTAAATGAACATATAGGCATGGTGATAATGGTACAGTGACGTATGGACTAAGCAAATTTACAGCACGCTTTGTTCTTACTCCAGGTGAGCGTTCAGGGTAAAGCCTGTAGCACAAACGGTGGGTGCTTCCCGCCATTTTGGTTGCTGCGGAACTCGGCGGCAAGTTTTGCAAGATGCACCATACCATCCTCTGGGCACGGGACAAGAACAAAACGTAAGGCTTGTTTTATTATACTATAACTTACTTTATCATTAGACATTTCCAAGCAGTTGGGTTTCCTGACCAAGGTTACGCTTGTAAGTCTTTACTTCATATGTCAAAAATGTTCTGATAAAAGCACATTTTGAAAATACAGCTAATGGGTAATTCAGAAAGTTTTCATTTATGCTTACTTAGTAAGAAGCCATTTTATTTAAAATTATTAAAAAGTAAAGTATAGTTTATTTCCTTTAAAAGATAGATTTTCCATAGTTTTGTAAAAACTATTATCAAACCTATGCCCGTTTGTGTTTTCCCTGATTATCAAGAACAACTTGAGGAGAAGACAATGCGGGATTTGCAGTCGTTGGTTGAACAGTTATTGGAAGACCGAGAAAGTGACCTTGCAGAGATCTTCAAGGACATTCAAACTCTGGCAAGAACAATTTCTAGAGCTCAAATTAATCAAACTCGCATGGAAATCTATAACGGGCCAATGATCATCATACTGTCGTATTAGTAGGAGGTAGGGGAATTCTTTTTACACAACCAAAGAGTCTCACCTCGCTGACGTTTCGGTGTCTGTCAGACACCTTCTTCAGAGCTTCTGACTGGAGTACTGCATCTTGCCGCTATATGTAGCCGATGTAGGTGGCGCTTTTGCGGCGAGAACACTATCCCAAACGTGGCTTAGTTTGTACCCCCCTCGTCCCGGTTCATTACAGGGGTTGACTTTCTGATCCAAACTGCCTCCTTGATCCAGCGGGTTCTTCTATTGTCTTCTCTGTCTATACCTTTCGCCCCCTTCCAGTCAATTCAATTCAATTCAATCTTTATTGCGCAACAATTGCAATGGATACAATGTATGGCAAGTGTTAATTACGCAGTTGTTTCTAGCAATGTGATCTGTCACTGCTGATTTCTTTTCTTCTTTTTGTGCATGTCTTTTCTGTGATCTTGTGTACTTCACTGTGTCCATGTTGTCAGCTTCCTTCTTATGTTCTTCTAATCTAGTCCCGAATGTGCGTCCCGTTTCCCCTATGTAAACTTCACTGCAGCTCTTGCACGGGATCTTGTATATGCAGTCTGTTTTTGCCGTGTCCTGTAGTTTGTCTTTTGGGTGGACCAACAGACTCCTCAGTGTGGTTTTTTGCTTTACTGCGGTGGAAATGTTGTGTTTTCTAAACACTCTTTCAATGGGCTCTGTGATTCCTTTGACATAGGGGATGATGACCATGGCTCTCGTTTTTTCTTCCTGTTTGTTGCTCTTGTCCTTCCGCTTGGGTTGCTTACTTCGTTGTTCCACTTTCTTAAATGTCCATGGTGGGTAACCACACCGTGTTAGGGCTTTCTTGACATGTTGCGTCTCTAGTGCTTTGTCTGCATCTTCAGTGACTACTGCATTGCATTGGTCTAGTAAGGTGCGAATGACTCCGAGTTTTTGGTGAAGGGGATGGTGAGATTGGAAATTCAGGTACTGGTCTGTGTGTGTGGACTTTCTGTATACTAGGAGTTTCACTGTGCCATCTTCCTTCCTTACCATAAGGGTGTCGAGGAAGGGTAGCGTACCATCTTTCTCTTCTTCGTGTGTAAACTGGATACTCCCCGTAGGATCAGTGTTGTTCAGATGGTCTGTAAGTCCCTGTTGTACCCCCCTCTTCACAATCTCCATGATGTCGTCAACGTACCTCTTCCATAACTTCGGCCTGCAGTTGATGGGAGCTGTGGCTATGGCTTGTCGTTCCAGCCATTCCATAAAGAGATTAGCTAATACTGGGGACACCGGGCTCCCCATAGCTGTGCCAAACTTTTGCTGGTAAATGTTGCCCCTGAAGCTGAAATACGTTGTAGTGACGATGAAGGACAGAAGTTCAATAATGTCCTCTATCTCAAGGTTGGTCCTACTCTTGAGATCTTTGTCTTCTTGGAGTCTATTCTTGATTATATTAAGTGTCTCTGGGATGGGGGTGTTCGTAAGAGAGATACCACGTCGTGTGACAAAAACATCTCATCTTCTTCCAGCAAGATGGAGGACATTTCTTCCGCTAGATGTTTAGAGTTCTTGATGTGGTGAGTGGACTGTCCAACTAGTGGTGCTAGTAGATCTGCCAGGGCTCTTGACGTGTTATACCATATGGATCCCGTGTAATCGACTATGGGGCGCAAAGGGTTACCTGGTTTATGTATCTTGGGTGTACAGTACATTCTAGGCACATTTTCGGCAGTAGGGTATAAGTGTTTATACTGTTCATCCGTAATCTTGTTGTTTCCTTTAAGTCGTTTCAAAATGGCCACTAGTTTCCTCTTGTATCTTTGTGTCGGGTCCGTTGGCAATTTCTCGTAAGTTTTATCGTCCGCTAGCATATCACTCACCTTCTTCTCATAGTCTGTTCTGTTCATCACTACCGTCGCCTTCCCCTTGTCTGCCGGAAGGATTAGCAGGTCTTTTTTCTTTTCTCAGTTCTTTCAAGGCATCTCTTTCTTGTTTTGTAATGTTGGATTTCGGGGGTTTCGCTGTTCTGAGTATCCCAGCTACGTCCGACCTTAGCTGCTCCGCGCTGTTCGGGGGCAGGCACATACATGCACTTTCCGTGGCCACCACGAAATCCTCCGAAGGAATCTTGTCGGGCGTCACGGCAAAGTTCAGCCCCTTCTGCAGCACCCTGGTCTGATGCTCGTTCAGTGTCTTCTCTGAGATGTTCACCGCCCATTTCTTCAACTGTGTGCCGGATAAATCGACTTCCAATTCCTGTTGTTGTCGTGTTTTGGTTTGTTGGAGGCGCTCAAGTTTTTCAAGATGGCGGTCCCGCGTCACTTGGAACTCTCGTTCCCCGGATCTGGTCACATGCAAACGCACTGCTTCCTGTAAATTTTCCGGTAACTCCGCTTGCAACTCTTCCGAAATCTTTTGCTGTTTTTCCTTTACGTAAGAAATTTTGTCATTTATAAGTCGAATCCTCTCCCTCAATAGCGCCCTTTCTGCTTTCTGGATGATGCCTTTAGCATTTTTGGTGCGTATGGCAGTTTTCAATCTTATGCTGGGAGGGGTGATGTTCTCGTCCTTACACCGGAGATTGAAAACTAAGTGATTACGATGTCTCGCGATGATTTTGGTACAAAAAAAAGGGGGGGTACAAACTAAGCCACGTTTGGGATAGTGTTCTCGCCGCAAAAGCGCCACCTATATCGGCTACATATAGCGGCAAGATGCAGTACTCCAGTCAGAAGCTCTGAAGAAGGTGTCTGACAGACACCGAAACGTCAGCGAGGTGAGACTCTTTGGTTGTGTAAAAAGAATTCCCCTATCTCTTAAGTTTTACCAACCTGATGAAACTGTTTTCGGAAATGTATTAGTCCAGCGGCAAAGCTTTGTTATTTTTCAAACATGCTATGTTCTAGATTATATTTATTAATTTTTAAACTGTTTTTTGCTATTTCTGCATGCCACTTACGTATTACATATGCATATTTTCTTACCATCGCACTCACTTATGGTGTTTATTATAATTACTTCAGAGCCTCTGCTTTTTATTTGCAAACAGGTAACAGGTCTTACAGTTGTGGGGTCACATGTGACTAATATAGTCGACATATTTAAAAACTACGACATCATCTTTGAGGCAGATGTACCTTTGTCGGCTTTGAACGTGGACTTATTTCGACTTCATTGGCCCTACATGCTAGGTCCTGTTCCTGTAATATTCGGTGAGTCTTTTGTCCTTATTCATGAAGTTGGTCTTAGATCTATAAAGTATTCTTAAAGATTCAATTTGTATATAAAGAAGAATGTCAACTAGAAAGGCCGACATATGTTTTGGAGCAAATTCAGCATGGCTTCACCAAATTTTACGACATGGCAGGAAAAGAAGGAGAGTATACAAGGGAAACAATGTTTTACATCGATAACTACGAATACAACAGTTAGATAGCTATCCCCTACATTATTGATTATTATCATGTAGCCAGGTGGCGATGACCAATCAGAAGCCCCCATTCCATATTGATTATGACACCATGATGTCACAGTTAACATGATACAAGTATTGCAAGGTGTGTTTTATTCTTACAAGTGTGCTTTGTTGCAGAGTAATGCACACCCTGGAGCAAACCATTTTCAGGGGAGTGGACACTTTTTGCTAACATTTGTAGCACGTTTCTTTGTTAGATAGAAATGTTTACAGTCTTGTCATCAACTAATTCTTAAAGCAGTGCAAAACAAAATAAAATCCATGTCAATACATATGAATTTTGAGCAAAAGGAAAGAAAACTTATTTCCCTCCACCCCCACTAGTAAGTACATTTCTGCATTGAAACATACCGGTTCTGTTCTAAAGTTCCGGTGAACTCATATGAACTCTGATAGAACAGGTAAAAAGATCACACTAAAGGGCATACAATAGACAATGTTGTGTCAGAATTTGTCATAGATGAGCTGATTGAAGCCAATATTTAGAGATAATATGGGGGTCCTTGACTCCTTGGAATTGGGGGAAGATGCACAGGAACAATGGCCAGCGGACGGGAAGATAGAGGAGTGACTGGGACGGTTTGTTATATAATTTAAGTTTGTATATGCTATACAGGAATGCCTCACTCTGTACTGTGTAAGTTTTGATAGCCTATATGATAATAGTGTTAATGGCCCACTCTTTCTCGATGAATATGGTGTAATAAAGCCTTGTCAGTTGCTATAACCACGTCATAAAGCATCCTCGTTCGCTGTGCTCACTCGGTGGCTTCATTCGGTGGTTATGGCAACTAACAAGGCTTCATCACATCATATTCACCTTGAGGCGGGTAATTAACCCTTAAGTATTTTATTGCTTTCGACAGAAGGCTATGAAATCGTTTTGGTACTGTTAGGCAGATTATGCACGATAAATTTTGAAGGCATGGTCCCAGGTTCACGATTTTTGGTAAGCAGGTTGTCTTAGTGATAGGCATTGTCAAGGCCAAAAATGGGCTTCGTAGGGGTTCTTACCTGACTGGAGCTGACCTTTTGTGTTTGTGTTTTTTGTTGTTATCAAGATAACTCGGGAATCCTTAAATCCTATGACTTTTAGTTAACAACTTACAGTTGAGAATACAAGGGTCAAGTTCGGAAATGGGCCTCGTGGGGGTTCCCATGTCATTGAATTTGACCTTTTGTGTTGTTCGTCATTGTTGTTAGCAGGATAATTCGAAAATCTGCAAATGGATGTTCACGATTTCTTGTGAGCAAGATACCGTTGACGATAGAAAGAACAAGTTCGGAAATGGGCGTCGTAGGAGGTCCGTACGTTACTGTAGTGGGCTTTTGGTGATTGTTGGTTAGTTTGGCTGAAGTTGTGGAAAAGCAATGTTCTTTTTTTATTGTGAATAAGTTAAGGAGTTTAGATTTAGGGTTTGAAGTTTGGAGCCCCTAGCAGGTTGTGGGTTACTGTAATAGGACATTTTGTGTGCACATCTTTAAGTGCAGGCACTTTAAATCTTTGTCCTTATATGTAGTTGGTTAACCCTCAAACACCCGAACGGGGTCCATTTGGACCCCAGGCGTATATTTTTATGTGCTATTTGAATTTTTTCATTCCAAAAAAAATTCCTCCCGTGACTTTGTCGATAAACATATTCTACAAGTTCTCCTAGAATTTTTTTGGAGATCGGCACAAATTTGTAAAAATAATAACGGAAGTATGATGTAAGACCGTCTAGGGTCCAAACGGACCCCAGCCATGTATTTGCACTTTCCTACACACAAAATTGTTCGGATGTCCTCAATATGTCTTCAAGGAAGCATTATTGCTTTGATATTATTCAGTTTGCCAAGTAACCTCAACCTCAGGAATTATTTCATCAGGTTTTCAGAGGTTTGACAATTTGACAATCATATAAGGTCAAAGGTCAACCCCATGTTCATGCCTGCAGGCCTCATCCCATTTTTGCATACATTATGATAATGAGCTGGAATTTTTCAACACTTTATCATGCCAAAATATACCTCTTACTATGTTTAACCAATATATGTGCAAAGATCACTGAAAGAATGCAAAAAAGAATATAAATTTGAAAGAAACCAAATGGGGTCCATTTGGACCCCGTTCGGGCATTAACGTCACAAAAAAGTTCGTGTTTGTGGGTTAAGCTAACAACACACAAGGTAAACTAGCATAAGCTAACAACAACACAGCCAGGGTGAAAAGTTGTTTGTTGAAATAACATGAGGCCACACCAAGTAATTTTTATGGATGACGCCCGCGCGTGCATCGATTTTGGCCTGTTCCCAGAAAAAAAAAGAAATTCTGCTTCTTTTAACTATGACCAAAGAGTCACGACAGTGGGATAAGGGAAGATGTGATGAAAGGAAAGAAACATGACAGGACGACAACTGCTGTTCCACTGCTGTTTTATTGCTGTTTTCAAGACGAATAAAAGACTCGTTGATTGTTACACTGTGTTCTCTTATTCAATTTGTGTCCTAGCATTTGCCATTCCTTAGTATATTTAAAATCTAGGCATCTTGTTGGCATCTTGTTTGTTTCGACCCTTTTTTTTCGCGCTCTCGCATTAGATTTTGGGTCTCCAGAGGACGTCATCCATAAAAATTACTTGCTGTGGCCTTACCCCGTCGTATTGGACACCACACGCTTTAACTACGCTGGCTGTATAGAAGTAAATTAGTTGAAGGAGTTTTTGCCGTTTTTAGGTTTGGATCGCTGCGCATTGGAGGCCAATTCTCCTCTTTATTTGTCGAATTCTACGATCCGTATTTTCGTAGAAAGACATGGTACACGCTAGGTAAATAGTATGCTGCCTTGTTCACAAAAAGACTCTCTGACCACTATAACTACGATAATCATATTTAAGAAAACCTACACTATACACACACACAACACACACCAAAAAAATTTCACACTGTCGAATGCATGAGTCCTCCTAACTCTAGTTTACATAATGCAAACTGTTGATTTTCAAAATAGAAAAGCGTTTATGCCCCACATTCCAATGCTTGAGCAGGAAAGTATGACATACCTACCAAAACACTTCAATGCAGTACCTACTTTTAATATGGTATGTAGCTCTTCATGGAGTTAACTCAATCAAATTCCAACAGCCAATCAGCAAGAAGATTCATGGATAGTATCCCCAACTGTATCATAAATTGTGACCTAAAAACGGTCCAAAGTCCCAAATTATACACGTTTAGGGAGAGTATGCCACAAATTACAATTAATTGTTGATGGTAGATATATAAAGCATACCCATACCGAATGTTAGATTATTTAACCATAATACCAGGTCTCCAGGACCCAAAATGTACAGATTTTGTCCGAAAATAGCCCAAAAGCCCAGTTTTAAACCTTGTAAGTAGTGTATGTCAAAAGCGTGAATGGCATTCTTTGAACATGTGATCAGGGTATCCCCATACCGAATTTCAGGTCATTCGGATTTAATACTAGGGCACACGAGCCAAAAATGTACATTTTTTTTGGTCTGAACATAGCCAGAAAGCCCTATTTTTCACAATTTGTGTATGTCAAGTGGTGTATGTCAAAATCTTAAATGAGGTTTTGTAGACATATGTCCAAGGTATTTCATGTCATTTGGTTTTATTACCAGGGCTCCAGATCCCAAAATGTATTTTTTTGCCTGAAAATGGCCCCCAAAAAAACAAATAAAACTTTTTCAAAAAAAGAAAAAAAAGCTGGGGGTATTTGGCTACTCTACCTTCATGCCAAATTCCATGTTATTTCGCCAAAAAATGAAGAACTTTAATCCATTTAATGAAATGGGAGGGGGGAGGAGGAGGGGGAGGAGAAGAAACATGAGGAAAAACAATATGACTTCACCGCATACTGGTGAAGCCATAAAAACACTATGACTTCACCACATAGTGGTGAAGCCATAAATAGGAAAAGAAATCATATGCGTATTTATGCTACTAGTGATTAGTCCTCTGTAAATTGAAGATATTTTGCAATTATTACATTACCACATTCGCCCGTCTAACCAAAATGGTTAGTCATATGACACATATTAACAGGCAACTTGTCTATCCGAAAGATTTCTGTAAACCTCAATTTGATGAAATTTAAAAAAAAAAACTAATGTGACCAATAGTTCAAACGCAAGAGCTACAAATATATAGTTTACAGAGAACATATCTTTCGTACTCTATACATTTACGTAGGCTTTGGCGCAGGTGTAAATGGTGGAGCAAGGGCCCATGCAACTTTTCACCTTCGGTCAATGAAAATGGATGTAAGTACATATACTAGGCTTCTTTATTCAAAGACAAATCAAACTGGATAGATTATAGAGATTACTTCTGCACGTTTCAAGTGACATCCGTCATTCTTCTTCAGCGTCACTAAATGACACGAGAGAACACGTCGACACTAATCACATGTAAAGGAAGTAGAAAAACAATTGAACATAGGAAGGACTCGTAAGTGTCGCTGTTATGTAAATGAGCATAGGTTAGTTCCAATTAAAGACAATGTCATGGAAACTGCTACTGTCCCTTGGGCGGTGGCGTTGAGTAAGGTACGAAAGCAATACCCGTGATTTATCCAGTAGTTGAGTTTGATTTGTCTTTGTTCACCCGGATGTTTAATCTCCAGCAACCTAGATATACTTCATTTCCAAGGACCATCGACTATTACTCTGAAATGGTGCAGTTGAACTCTATACATTGTGTTGTGTTAACAATCCGAAGATGCCATCCAGAATATAGAACGTTTGGGTAATAAGCGCACGTTCGACGTTTTGTAGTGTAGACATAGAAAAATACCTGACATCATTTGTAAATCTTTTGCACAGCTGGAAGTGGTTCCACAAGTGGGAGGGCACGTCTGGGGAGATTTCGGCGTCTGGCTTCTTCTCTTTACTGGGAAAATGAGGCTTATTGGCTACATTTGTGAGACGTCCTTCCCAATGAACTGGCAATTCAACTTTGGGTCTACTGACACCGGTACAAAGTAAGTCTGCGTCAGTGTCATATTTATTGTACAATTAGTCTGAAAAGACAAATGATTAATTGTAAACAAGCAGCACACACACACACACACACACACGCACACACACACACACGCACACACACACACACAAACACCCACGCACACACACATACACGCACACACACACACGTACACACGCACACACACACACGCACACACACACACGCACGCACACACACACACACACACACACACACACACACACACACAACCACACTAACTCCTTTTTTTATATTTCAGGTATGCACAATACCAAGTCATGGTTCCGTTCCGTCTGGAATTAAGAGGGATTCTTGTCATGCATCTCATCTTCACTGATGTGACTATTGTAGACCTTTTAATCTGGGGTTGGTCTGCAGAAGCCATAGAAAAGACGAAAGAAAAAGATGAAAATTACAACCCAGACAAATCACCACCATTATTCGAAGGGGGGATAGTCCCCTTCGGAGGAACGTGTCGGCCGTCCACCGTTTTTCGTGCTCGACAAGAGGTAATAAGATTTACGCCGATGAAGGTTAGACATCCAGGTAATATAACGATACGCCAAAAAACAGTTACTCAAGCAACTGGATATGATTTTGGAAACGTCATTTTAACGTTTCTAAAATCATATCCAGTTTTTTTTGGCGTAATAAGATTTATTTTACAGCCTTTATACAGCTTGCTTCGTGATTATTTCAGTCCATAACATATATATATAAATTTTGTAATACCCATATAACTCATGTACTCTTCTTCACCTCGCTCTTCTGTCAATTTCTTTACATGGCTCCAGCTTCTTCATTTTGGGGCAAAATAACCTGAAAATTTGGTATTAAGGTAGAATGGGCCGATGCCCCATCCGTAATTTTAATACAGGCTTTAACCCTTGTCCTGCTGGACTTTTTTATACAATATTTTTAAGTAATTTGAAGTAGTAATCCGGTCACAGACCTTTGACTTTTTTGCCCTCCGGTGGCGTAATTATTTCCGCATTTGTTGCGTTTTTCTGCGGTGTGATGCCAGCTAAACCTCCTGGGTCACATCTCCAGAGCTACACCCACCCAGGAAGTGATCAAACTGATCACCACAGCTCCAGATCCAACTTGGAGGCGCCCTAGAGGCCGCCCCAGGAGCAGATGGGAGGACCAGGTTCTCAACGTGCTGGACAGGTTGGGGGTCTGCAGAACTGACTGGAGAGTGCTGGCGGAAAACAGAACATCCCGGAGGGACATGGCTACAGCCGCTATGCATCTACTCTCAGACTGATGCCTGCGGGTTGATTGATTGATTGATTGATGCGTTAGACACGAAACACCTCCAAATCGTACATATACAGGGCGCTGTATAGATAGTACTGTATGTGCAAACCATATGTATATATGGGTCCCGTAGGACATTAAGAATCGTTAAATTTGTTGTTTTTTTTACTTGCCGACACAATTCGGGGTTCTGGAAACCTATTATTACACCTAAATGATCTGAAATTGGGTATATATGGGAGTTCTTTATATATCTACCATCAACAAGTCAATCTAATTTTTGGGATAGCCCCTCTTATAATAATTTGGGACTTTTGGACTGTTTTCAGCTCTAAATGTACTGTACAGTTGGCTGTTACTAGGCAGAAAGGAATGCAGAGCAACAACCAATTGGCATGCGGATTTCTATAAGTGGGCAATATGTGTTGTACTTAAGAAGCTGGCTGATGAGATCACCAGGTCATTGTTGATGGATGGATGAATGCAATTTATTTTTTTTTCATATTTCTCTTTCTTCCCTTGCCATTTCGTTAATTAGCTTCAATCTACAAGAAGATGCAGGGTGGTGTGGGTAGGCAATCATTAATCAGATACGGGGTGGTGTGTATCCTGACAAAACTATAAAAATATGTATCAATCACGTGATCCTTCAAATCTCTGTCTTGCGATTTCAAGAACACTTCTTTTGAAAAAGTATACGGAGATTTTGAGTAATACATAGTTGTTTTGAAAACACCTTATACTGAATATGGGGGTTTCAAAAATAGTTTACCAAAAAGGGGACTACTTAAAAACATTCCATATCGATAATCACCACGTACGGAAAAGGTTGATATAAAATTTTGGAATGAGGATGGATATAAACTGAAATTGGAAAGATGATGAAGTTGCCCCCGAGCAAATGCCTGCATTTCTAATACCCTTCTTGCCGAGCAAACGTCTGCATTTCTAGTTCACTTCTTGTTGTTATTATTATTTTATTCATTACTTTTTCTATTCTACAGTTCAGTTTTTCTATTCTACTTTTTCCATTCTACTTTTTCTATTCTACAGTTCAATGTATTCTACAACATTCCCTAAATGTTAATGACATTCTCTACTTTTCCCCAAAAACTCATCATAGCGACGAGTTATAGTCGACTTCCTATGCGGCAGCTCCGTAAGTAGTGGCAAACGAAGCATTCGAACCAACAAGTGTTTCGTGGAACAAGTCAAGGGGCGAGACTACACGGAGCCGGCGTTTCAGCTCGGATTTCACACGGAGGATGAGAGAAGTGAGGTCAAGTCAACTCTGTGTGTCGGCACCTACCGCGGAGGGTGTGACGCCATCGATAACGAGCCGATCGGCGGCGCCTGGTCACCAATGTCAAAGGTTGGAAACTAAAACTTCATCGATAGATTAATAAGATATGTTTACTTCTGTATAGCGCAATATAATCCTTAGCGCACAATGTTGTGGGGGGTAATATGGAGGTTGAATCCCTTAGGTTTATTGCAGTCTTTTTACATCTCTCACGAAAAATACGATAGTTATAATAACGAGGCCTAATATGCAATAAAACAAAATTGTGTAGTTTTTTTTTTTTTTTTTTCTATTTCAATTTTGGAGCAGCCGTTTCTGGACGGCTGTGACACATGGAGTGTAATAACCTGGCGAATGTTGACTTTCTACAACTGGTCTACTTATCTATGAAGCTCTGTTCGTTTTGTTCTTCTTTTTTCATTAGAAACTTCCTGCAGGAATCCCCATGTACTTCACAATAACCAGTACAAACGCGAGAGGTCTCTCCTCAAGTGTGTCGTGTCAGATCGACACGTACGACATCACGCCTCCTGTGGCCCGCATCACGCCAGCCTTCTACTCGACAAGCAATCCTCAGTACTTACGGGCATCTGCTATAATACAAGATGACTCACCAATCGACATCGCCAGGGTAATAACACGTCAATGACTTAAAAAAAAAGAAATGGCGTTTCATTTTGTGATTATACGTTGCATCCTTTTTAAAATGTGTATTACGTCAGCGAAACCAGATATCCTTTTTGGAAAGGCATTTCAGAGCATGTAGTGTAACATTGCTATAACATTTGTGGTGTCTGATATTGTTGGCAGTCGTTGTAATAATCATGCGTTACATTACTTCCCGAAGGTTTTTCAAGCAGGGTTTTTCATTCAATGCCCTCTCACTCATTCACGTCACTGTCACGAGTTCTTCTGCCTCCAGAAAAACATCTAAGGCCTGTGGTTAGGAGTCAATTTAGGTCAGCGCAAAGTCGGCTGGTTTTTGATGAATTCGGATACGCCCGAAAATATTTTAAACATTCGAGGGTTGGTCGGGAGGTTCGACTATTGTTGGAAGTGTCCGGCTATAAATTAGAAGAACACCAGCCAACCATTCTGGAGTAAGTTAGCAGTATTAGTGACGTGTTCGGGCGTCCAATTTGACTCAAATTTATCTCAAAGTAGTTCGGGTTTCTTATTGTAGGTATGGCCTAAATCTGATCAGAGTGCTCCCGAACTTCAGCCGGTCCTGGTTGGCTGGTGTTCGGTAACAGATACGGGGAAAGGTCGCAAATGTGTGACAGTGGCTACAGTGGCCGAAGCTATTATTATTATTATTTTAACTTACTATAGCTCCCAAGCCCTATATCCTCTCCGTGGAAAGGAAGTATGACTCGAGAGCTATAATAGGTTTGACAAACAGCAGGCTACCGAAGCACTGCTTTCCAAAGAGGCCCCATAAATGAAATCAATACTATGATATGTACATAACGAATATATTAGTGCATATAATATAATTACAAAATCGTATTCATGGTCTTTTTCTGTGTCAGATCGTAAGGATTGGAGGTCAAGCGTCACGTTTTCTATCTTATTATTCTGTGTTTGTTACAGGGCGGTGTTGGGTATGGTGGTGACGTCTACGGCGATCAGGTAGTTTCCTGGTATGACGTGGCATTGGGTAACACAGGCCATCCGGTAACCACTACAAACCCACTAGACAACTTTGTAGAAGGTAAAACTGGACGACTCAACTCAAAACCACACAAAACAGACCGCTTCGTCATTCCAGAGGACTGCGCAAGATTGTGTTTGACATTTCCTCCTACGAAGTGTCTTAGTTTCAACTACGACTACGGATCGGCTGGAACTTGTGAAATATTGGAAGAACTTGAAGTTCCGGGAGTCCAACTGCATCAGGTAATTGTGTATAAAAAGTGTTATATTCACATGGAGCGGCCGTGATTACAAAGGTCCATAGACCCAATCAAATGAGTAAGGTAATTTTTATGACATCTACCAATTAACCTGCAAAAAGGTACAAATTCTTTTCATTACCTCCAGAGGGAATCTTGAATTAAGCTCGGGTAAACTATAGGAAGCAATCCGTATGATTCGAATATGAGTTTCGAAGGAGTTGATCATGATTTGACTGGCTGGGCTTTATCACTATCTCTTGTAATCAGTGGACACTGGACAGGTTAATTAATTATTAGGTAATGCGATATAAAAGCACAAGTGACAGGAACATTATTTTTCTGTCAACACAGAATGGACATTTTCATCATTTTGAACGACGAGGAGTTGGTAAAATGCTTCAGTTCGACTTTGACAGCCTGGCACTGAGACATGACAATATCTACTACTTCAATGTATACCTGCAGAACTCTCTAGGTATGTACTATTGCATTATGCATTCATTAAAATAATATTCTTTACTTTACTTTATCCTTCCGCTTGTGCCTGGGGGAGCGTCGCGGGGAGACGTAGTTGACGATCCACTGCCAGGTGTGTGGCCTCCCGGAGTGTCATGCCGTGTGCCCTGAAGATCTCCGCTACTCCATCTATCCATCGGCGGCGCTGTCTCCCTCTGGCCCTTACTCCTGAGTTCCTGGCAGTGTAGGCCCTTAAGGCAGGGTGGGTGGTCGGCATTCTCATCAGGTGGCCAAACCACTGAACCCTTTGTTTGGCAATGAACTGGAGAACTGGTTTGTTGCCAACCAGCTGTCTGATGACTTCGTTTCTGACCCTGTCCCTCCTTGTCTTCCCTGCTGCTCTTCTTAGACACCTCATCTCACAGCTAGTGAGTTTTCTCTCCTGTGTTTTGCTGAGAGTCCAGGTTTGGCATTGGTAAGTAAGAGTGGGTACGAAGATGGTGTTTATCAGTTTGGCTTTGATGTCCATGGACATACTTGGGTGCTTTAGGAGGGGTGCCAGTTGATAGCTGACGGAATTTGCTTTCTGTATCCTTGTCTCTATCTCTCTGTCCATCTTTCCGTCTTCAGTAAATATGCTTCCCAAGTATTTGAACTCTGTGGTCTGCTTCAGAGGTTGTCCATTGACAGTGATCTCCAGTTTCTCCGGGCAGCGGCCGACTGACATTGCCTCTGTCTTCCCAATGCTGATCTTCATGTCATGGGATCCGCAAGCTCTGTTTAGATTGTCTGTGTGATGTTGGAGCTGGGCCTTGCTTTCATTGAGGAGACCTTGGTCGTCGGCAAAGAGCAACTCATTCAGGGATCCTGGGTCAGGGTTAGCCTCCTGTGTGACTCTGTCCATGTAAACTATAAAGAGTAGGGGGGAGAGGACACACCCCTGCCTCACTCCAGATCTTACCCGGAACCAGTTGGAGAGACCATTTGGTGTTTGTACTGCACTCTGACTGTTGAAGTACAGTGCTCTTATGTTCTCTAACAGTTGTCCTTTTACACCATACTGTTCTAATATCTCCCAGAGTTTGTTCCTGTTCACCCGGTCAAAAGCTTTTACCTGGTCTACAAAGACGAGGTGGATGTGCTTTTGGTACTCGCAGGCCTTTTCACTTAGTTGTCTGAGTGCGAAGATTGCGTCCGTACAACCTCTCCCCTTCCGGAAGCCAAACTGCGCTTCGCTGAGTAGCGGGTCCACAATAGCTCGTGTGCGTTGTTCGAGAATCTTTGCAAATGTTTTTCCTGTGTGACTTATCAGGGAGATACCTCGGTATGTGCTGCAATCTTTCTTTTTCCCTTTCTTCTTCCATATTCGCACTACGATTGATTTCCGCCAGTCCTCTGGCACATACCGTTCCACCCAAACTTTCTGGAATATGCCAGTGAGCCATTTGATGCCGGTCTCACCACAGGCTGTGATGGCCTCTATAGGGATTCCATCGATCCCAGCAGCCTTGTTCTTGGGGCTAGACTGAACTGCTCTCCGGACCTCCTCCTCTAAGATGTTGGGCTCTGTATGTTCCGCAAAACTGGGGGTGAACTGAGTGTTACTAGTGTTGCCCTCTCCGGGGTTAAGAAGCTCCTCAAAGTACTCTTCCCATCTCTGACTGATTTTGTGTTCGTCATATAGAGGGTTTCCATCTCGGTCATTTATCGCAGAGGTAGGGTTGAAGGGCTCGTCCCTGAGCCGCATAGCTCTAACGCTCCTGTAGAACTCCCTTGGAGATCGTTTGCAAAGCTCACTTAGCTCCTACCCGTAAGCCTTCCATGAGTCGTCATTTGCTTCTCTTACCGCTCTCTTACTCCTCCTTCTTGCAAACCTGTAGTTGACATAGTCCTCATGTGCTCTTGAGGCATTCAAGGAGTGTGTCTCTGAAGGTACACCAGGTTTCCTCTGCGGTTTTACTTCTTGGGTCTATCTGCTCTAGGCGCTCTTCTACTTTCTGTTTTAATTGTTCCTGTATGTCCGAGCTCCTCCTTAGTTTGTGCAGGTTGATCTGTGCTTCATATGGTCTCTTTCTCCTGTGATTTTCTTCCTTCCTCCCTGCTATGCACATCAGTACTGGCCTGTGATCTGTGTCCAGTCCAGCATTAGGTATCACTCTGGCGTCCCGGATTGTGGCCCTTCTGGATGCCCTGGTGAGAATGAAGTCTATTTGAGACGAGACCGTCAAGTCATTCAACCGATACCAGGTCTGTGTGTGACTAGGGCGGTGCTGGAAGAGGGTGTTTGTAATTACCAGGTCATGTTCTGCACAGAGACTTAACAGCTGGTGTCCATTGTAGTTACATTTTGTGCTTCCGTCACTGTGGGGGCCAAGGTGTCTGCTCCATGGGTCTCTTCTGCTTCCTACTCTACCATTGAAGTCCCCCATCACTACTACTTCCTCCTCATCCGGCACTTCTGAGATGCTGTCTGAGAGTTGACTGAAAAACCTGTTCTTTTCTTCTTCAGTGTAGGAGTCATTGCATGGTGCATAAATCTGAAAGTAGTTTGAAGTGTTGTCCTTTTCCTTGATCGTTATCTTGATGATCCTCTCTGAGATGTAGACCGTGTCTGAGAGACACTTTGCTGTGTCCGGGTGCAGGATGATTGCTGCACCCGGACTGCAGGATGCAGGATGATTGCTGCCCATGGACTGCCCTTTGGTTCATCTCCACCCCACTCCATACTAAGACATAGTTGGAATTGATTTCCCTGCAGCCTTTCCCCTTCCTTCTGCTGTCAGATATGCCCATGACTGAGATGCTACGTCTTGTCATAAACTCTACTATTTCTGGTTCCTTGTCCCTTAGACCACTCACGTTCCATGTCCCTATCTTTGTCCAAGCCTGTCCATTTCCGTTCCGGGTCCTTTGTCCATTTTGATCCGTCCGTTTACATCTCCTTATATTTCTACGAGCAATAAATAATCCACCGCCGGCTTGCTGGGCCTGTCGCAGCTTTACCAGAGCCCCGGTAGCCAGATGTTTCGGTGTGCCGATGGTATGGGCTGTCCTACTCCATTTGTTACCACCTCCCACGACGAGGACGAGGGGTTGGATTTTGGGAGGCTGCATAATATTCTGCATATCTAAAATTCAACGTGTTTTGAATAGATATAGATCAACAAAATACGTTAATACGTGATGTCTGTATGGAGCAAATTTGTGTAAATAAATTTTGATCACTTGATGTGTCATGGTACATACGGACGGTATTATGAGCATGCATTGCGATAACAATGCCGTTTCAGGGTATACGAGCATTCTTTCATCAAAGCCAGTCTTGGTTGACCACACCCCCCCTTCACCTGGTGTGATCAGTAACAAGAGATGGGACCAGGTTTATAGAGAGGACTGTAAAGACTTCATACCAGACGAGTGGGAGCACAAATGTATCCAGCAGACAACACTTCCAAACCACAGGTACTAGTATTATGTAGCGCCCATAGCATCACAGGTGCATGATGTTTTAAAGCAGTGTCAAGATTAAGACCCAATGGAATTTACGTTTTTGATATCAGTTTCGAACAAATATATGTAGTATTATATTACATATAATTATTTTCATTATAAACTACTGTAACAATGCATTACTTGAATTCTTATTAAACGCAGGGCGATAGTAGATGGGGAAGGCTCGCAAACAGTTTTCAATGGCCACGAGCCGCTGAAAGATATGCTTTACACACGGGCGAACAGCTACGTATCAGGTATGTATATTCTCTATTATGGCAGATGTAATGTTGTTTATACCTATAGATACATATATATTAGGTACATACAGATACATGCACACAAACAAACACATTCAAAATCCAATAAGCTAGGAATAAATTTCAAGCAAAAGCATACATTTTCTAATTAGATACCATGATAGGTGCACCTTTAATTATTACTTTTTCGCGATACTTGTCTGATAATCCAGCTAACTGGGACGGTTTCCATGACAACGAGACTGGTATATTTGGCTATACGTGGACTGTTGGCACCACACCGTGTCAGGAAGACATACATCCCCACAAGGATCCACACTCGCACCTGTTTGACGAGTCTGAGTGGACACATACAGGCATAGCAGATGGACTTGATCTTCCAGGTGAACTTGAAAGGAAATTCGATAAATTGTTAACTATGACGGTATGATAACATTGACCTTGGTTATGCAACTACGCTTTACTTTTGGTGACTAGATGATGAACATTTCAGAGGTTTTATGACTCCGTTTCTATGGTGCAATTAGGGTGATATTACTGTACAGTAATTTGGTGCGTAGAATAGACTTGGTGACGACCAATGTCAGACGAGGAAACCATTGATTCTTCCTATTTGCTCTTTTAGTAGGCCTCTATAGACTGAAAGACAATGTATCCTACACGTTAGGAAATTTTAAACCAACCACTCGTAAACCTGATAAAAACGGCGGTTGAATCTGAGTCTTGGTAGCAACGATTGGGTTGGCATTGATAACTTGTTCCAAAGATGCGTACACATTGCTAAATACCATGATATAATACAATGGTCAGTAATTTGTCACATCAAAACATTATTGTTTTAGAGACAGCCTCCATTGTCTGTGTACATCACTATTCTGTGGTTGACTTAAAAGAGATATGTATTACAGATGGCATATATCACGTTACTGTTCGAGCCATAAACGATGTGGAATTTGGAGGTCCCATGGCGACTACAGTCTGTCACAGCACCCCGTACACCATCGACAACACGCAGCCGTTTGTCCATAGCGTCACCAATGTCAACTATGACGACAATATACGACAGATCAGTGCGGAATACAATGTCAGGTATATTAGTTTTTCTTGCAGTTTATTTTGCCTTTACACATGTATCGTTTGACTAGCACACCAGTCGCACACCAATCTGGTACTCTTATTCATCTTTGATATATTTGCCAATGAATACGTAAACAAATATGATTTTTTTTTACTTTACAGATACTAGTAATAGAAATCATATTGCGTATAACAATCTCAAACAGACAAGGGAGACTGGTAGTACTGTATGAATATTAACCCCATTCATCTATCCAAATCAGCGACCCCTTGTCAAAGATCCGTGAGGTTGACCTTGGTCTTGGTCGAAGCAAGCGGGACGTTTATCTGATGGACTGGCATCGTGAGGCCAACACCACGCACATCACACACAACTATCACATCCCGGATGGAGTTCCTGCCTGGGTGAAAATCAGGGCTATCAACAATGGTAAATATGTATCTACATCATTATAGTTCTGTATACTCTGGGGAAGTCTTGTAAATGTAATGCAAAATGTAATGCCCTATACTATAATGTAGTATAGTATTGGGAAAAAGAGCGCGCCGCCTCCGTGTTCCCTTATTTCAGCAATGTGGCGAAAGGAAATACGTAACAAACCCATGTATGTATTACGATTTACGGGCTACGTCATTGGGCTGTACTAACGAAGCTTAACTATGAACGGTTGTGCAACAAATATTTATATAATTAGATAAAAAAAATGTGTTATTATATATTTGTGACACGAAGGCATACTTTAATTTGATGATAAAATATATAGCCAGGTAGATATATGAATGCAATTCCTCACTGATAGTTTGACATGTTCTCTGTGCAGTGGATCTCCGGAAATCAGGTCACGCTGACAGCCCGATCCTTGTAGACACCAGCCCTCCTGCAGCAGGTTCTGTGTTTGATGGACCAACAGCTGGGCACGATATCAACTTCCAACATGATCAGAGTGAGATCTGTGCAAACTGGCGAGACTTCCATGATGAGGAGAGTGGAATAGGTAATTAATTGTTGGTCATGTCCCGTAGAGCTGCCGCATGTGGTTATACTTGATAACTTTGCGTCAATACCTTAGATACATTATGGCAGGTACACATGTCGGTTTGGTTCTTGGTCGAAAGAAGTTATAAGTAAAGTATGCAAAAAACGTTTTTCTTTGCTAATAGGTATTTTGAACTAAATATTGTTGTATTTTATATATGTACTTATTTTTTACATACAGTCATGTAGGTACAATTGATCTTTGTTAATTGGTAGTCACAATAACTTACAATAGCTGCCTTGAACACTATTTGTTTTAGACCATTACCTCTGGGGTGTGGGGACCATCCCTGATGCTGATGACATCGTGCCGTTTGAAGTCATCTCCCATTCGTCCTTCAGCAGCTGTGAACAGCTGTCTACACCATTACTCCACAATACTACATACTACTCCACACTGGTTGCTCTGAATGGCGGACACAAACATTTGAACGTCAGTGTTTCATCCGATGGAGGTACGAAACATTGCCACATCTAAATACTAACACTATTCACATTTTCACAACTTTCTACATTTTGTATTTGATGTTGAAAAATATTTTCCCTAAATCATTGCATTTGCCATTTTTTTGTAATTTCATTGCATTTCGCCATTTTTTTGCATTTATAGTACTTGTCGATACCACTCCTCCGACGATGGGTTGGATCAAAGACGGCCTCAATAAAGACGCCGACATGCAGTTCTCATCCGAACAGTCAACAGTATCAGCAAACTGGGGAGATTTTAGCGATCCGGAGTCTGACATAGCCTCTTACTCTGTCTCCGTCACTAGACGGCATGCCAGCAAAGGTGGTTATGACTTTCTGTTGTTGTACCTGCCATGGAACCATCGTATAAGTCTTATGTTGTTTAATTCCCTGCACTGTGACATATGGGTTCAAGTACATACAGACTTTGTTGATATTGTTTTCACATGTTTATTTTCAAGTGTTTTTTTCACAACGTTATCCCATGGGAAGTTTGACCTGAGGAAAATGTTTTATTTGACGTATACTCGCATATACTTAAACCGATTTTTAAAAAGAATTTTAAAAACTTTTCGTTACGTTTCGTTGCAGGGAATGTTACAACAGACTGGGAGATTATACATCCTCCAGAAGAGGTGAACAGTAACGCAGATCACATCAACTGGCACCACTTTCACCTACACCATGGCGACACCGTGGCGGCTAAGCTGACAGCAACCAACAAGGCCGGTTCCCACGTTACGGTAGAGTCTGACGGTTTCGTGGTGGACACAACGCCCCCTGTCCTGCACTTCCTTGGTGATGGACCAGTAGCCGGGGAGAACAGGAAGTTTTCTGTAAGTAAATGACTTATCCAACATGCTATTGCTAGTTCTTTGTTTTGATAGACTGATATGTACATTCGTTCATCAACAAAGGCGTACAGCAAGGAGCCCACTGACGACAATAAAACAAATATAATATCATTATGGAAAGCAAATCGAAGCAAATATGTAGTTTGCCCTATAGGAAAACAAATTGTCTTGGATGGAGGACAAAAATGCCGTGTTTCAGTAAATAATGTAGTGTCTGCGTTCGTTTCCAATAATTTTCAGCATTTTTCGTAATTCTTATCGTTATCTATGTGCTGCGTACAGTTTTATTATTACTATTATTATCATTATTATTATTATTATTATTATTATAATTGGATAGTTTAGAAGAACCTGCTTTCTGAGGATTATAAAAATCCTAACATTTCTTGTTGCTTTTTACCATGGTTATTTGGCTATTTCATCATTTTCATAAGCAGAATGAAGTTCTAAATGCCTAAAGACATTTTTTACAGCCTAAGGTTACTAGTACCTTTTTGTCTTATCCAGTCCAGCCTTAGCTTCCTGTCAGCAAATTGGGTTTTCGAAGACAAGGAATCCGGTCTGGACCACTTCAAGATGTCGGTTTTTGAAACGCATGGTGGAAGGAAACATACGTTATATCTGGGAGACAGGTATTTTTTCTAACTTTATTTATTACTAACTCATGAAAATAAGACAGTAATGATAGAATGTTTCTTAATTAATGGGTAATGACCGGCCCCGAGGTGAATATGCTGTGATAAAGCCTTTACAGTTGCTATGACCACCGAATGAAGCCACCGAGTGAGCGCAGCTTTAACACACCATATTCAACAAGAAAGGCCAGGCCATTAACACTGTAATATATCATACATATATACGACAAAGGCCCAAGAATCAAAACTTACAAGGTAGAGAGTGACATATTCCTTTATAACACATACAAAATTTAATTATATAACAAACCGTCACTGTCGCTCCTCAATCGTCCCGTCCACTGGCCACTGTTCCTGTGCATTTTTCCCCGATTCCAAGGACCCGCATATTGAGTGTAAATTGACCTCAATCAGTTCTTCTATAACAAATTCTGACACAGCGCTAGCATTGTCTGTCGTATGACCTTTAGTGTGATCTTACCTGTTCTATCAGAGTTCAATTTATCAGAATTTTTCTGAATTCATACGATCCTTGCTAGAAAAATACGAAGTTTACGGAATACACACTATCCAGTACCGGAAACATACGAAGTTTACGGAATACATACGATCCATTACGCGGAAACATACGATCCTTACTAATTTGGGTCATTTGGGGTCATTTGGTGACTTGTCGCCGCGATCACCGGTTCCACCGTTTCCCAGCCTCGCCCTGCTATTTGGTTTAAAAAACAGGCTATTACGTCGTGAAAGAAGCTCGCATAAGTGCAGTTTGGAGGGCAGGATAAGCCCTTAAAATTCTTTGAAACCAACATATTGTAGGGGGAACAGCGCTATAATAGTCCGCCATCTTGAATTTGCTGCCGATGTCACGTGATCGTGGTGTCACCAAATTAGTAAGGATCGTATGTATTCCGTGTAATGGATCGTATGTATTCCGTAAAATTCGTATATTTCTAGTATGGATCGTATGTATTCCGTAAACTTCGTATGTTTCTAGTAATGGATCGTATGTATTCCGTAAACTTCGTATGTTTCCTAGTAAGGATCGTATGAATTCCGTAAAATTCTGATAAATTCTTTGGCACCCCTGCTTGAAGTCATCTGAGGTCATTTGTATGTTTCAATACAGGAATGTACTTACCAGTGAGGGTGGCGCGAAATATGTTTTCTTTCCTTTCACTCAAATTTATATGTATTGACATGGTCTTTATTTTGCATTAAGTATGCATTATTCTGCAACAAAGGCGCACTTGTGAAATAAATCAAACTTGGGATGATTTTGCAATACTTGTATCATGCTAACTGTGACATTATGGTGTCATAATATGAAATGGGGGCTTCTGATTGGTCAACGCCAGCTGGCTATATGATATTAATGTATATGTATATATATATATATTAATGACCGCACAAAATCTATACCTTACAGCAAGGAGCAGATCCTTCCAGGTTCAATGGTGAACTGGACAAGCCCACAGCTTAACCTCCGGCCAGGCAGACATTACTCTATCCGGGTGACTGCCGTTAACCGCGCTGGACTGTCATCAGTGCACGATACTGACGGTGTGGTTCTGGACACAACACCACCATCGGTATTAACCTCTTCACATTTTGCAGCAAATATTTATGACATCTTAACATATTTCTGATTTGTCACGAATGCATTCTGCCATGGTCTAACATTTTCTCGTACGTTTTTTCCATTTTTTGCCATCTCCGCCATTTTATCCTATCACCATTAACGATGGGGCATGTGATTACATCATGCCATTACAGGTCCATCAGCGTGTCAAATTTTTGCGTTAAAAGATTTAATGCCCCATCCTCAAATGGACCACCCCACTGTGTCACATTGACATTCATAGAACGTTACCTAATTATGGCATATGGCTTAATGATTTTCGCAGATGGTGAAGGTCCGTGTGGGGGTTCTTGCAAGCGATGTGGAGGAAGTCGTGGACGGCTTTGTGTGGCAAACAGACAGGAAAGGAATTCTTGCAAACTGGCTAGCATCAGACGGGCAAAGTGGGATTGAGGCGTACTGGATTGCGGTTGGCAGTTATCCAGGTATGCAAGGACTTAGGGTTGCCAACTGACTTTGAGCAGGGCGATGCCTGAGATTCCAACATAACAAAATGTCCCTCAGTCAAACCGTAAATCGCTGTGCAATATACTTACCAGATCATATAAAAGTATATTTTTGTATAATAATATAATATAATAGTATAGTATAGTATAGTATAGTATAGTATAGTATAGTATAGTATAGTATAGTATAGTATTGTATAGAATAATATTGAATTGAAATTCACCTCTTTTTTTAAGGACAACCCAAGGATATATCACCAGCTTTTATATTTTCCAGGAGGATCAGATATATCAGATGTGAGAAGCATGGGCCCTGCGATAGACGGGTATATTGGAGGGATTGATCTACCGCTAACCGATCTCGACACCAACACTCCAGTCTACTATGTCACGGTTTTGGCAGAGAACGGGGCTGGCTTGCTGTCACAAAACCTGACATCACGGTACGAAAAATGGATTTTCTTAAACCGATTGGAGCTTATAGCCAAATTCATAGTACGTAACGAGAGCTGTATAGTAATGTTGCAAAATCTGTAAAAAAATTTTTTTCTTAAAACCAGTCCCATTAAGGTTGTTCCCGGGGACAGACCAGGAGTGGTGTTTGACGGCCCTCTCACAGTCTCAAACGAGACACACACCAACCCTGTCGACGTAGACTTCCAGTCGGACAACACAGCCGTTACGGTTCAGTTTAAAGGATTCCAGAGTGTCTTGAACGGACTGGCACACTTCGAGTGGGCTATCGGCACCTCTCCCCGACTGGACGACATCCAACCCTTCAGTGCTGCAGGAATCGTCTTAGCTCAAGACAGCCAGCATCCAGGATATGGTGCGTAAAGAATCTCACTATTCGGCTTTAGCATACTGATGCTAGCAATCCTCCTAGCTTATCGGTATAACGAAATAATCAGAATACATGTGAAACACATGTCGTAGGATATTGTCATCCGGAATACAGTATTTTTGGTTATTTGCTCCTATGAAACTATGTTTCCTTCCAAATTTCATGACATGTACTAGATAGAATTGGGTTTTGGTGTTTACATATAAATATCTGATTTACATCAATATTTGATTTACATCAATATCTGATTTACATTCATAACGTTGATGCTCTTATGTATGTAGTATGTATTTCAATCAAATCCCGCTATCATCCAATTTACAATGTATCGTTCTTGAGTTAAAACCTTATTGCGTTTGAATTTTGTCTATCAATAATAGCTTTCCATTCAAGCTCATAGATACAAATCCATCTTCAGAAACCTAACAAAGGATACCATATCCCCATATTTAACGGATGGACATTTATCCTTCAGGCCTGCACGGAGCGGGACAAGCTCAGGCGCTGGTTCCCCTACAGGCGGGAACGACGTACTACGCCACCGTCCGCGGGGTAACTGGGAGAGGCGACGTGCTGGAAACATCCTCCGATGGGATCACCGTGGACAGGTCCCCACCTGTAACACAGATTGTAGACACCGGGTGCGACGTCTCGAATGACAGTGTCGAAAGTGTTGAGAACTGTTACCAGATGAACAGTGATTACCTTGAAGGTGAATGGGAAACGACAGATAAGGAGAGTGCTGTAGCGTATTCAGCCTTCTTCTACGGCACTGTTCCTGGTCTGAGTGACGTCACACAGCTCACCCCAGGTACAGATGAAAACAGCGTGCCGTCCACCCTTGTTGTTCCTGTATCGGATGGAAGATCTAACTTTCTCAATGTCCTGTCTACAAATGAGGTACTTATATAACAATACGTTAAAAATGCTTAAACATTGATTGGGTCGTGTGACGTAACGGCAGAGTGCTCGATTCGGAACTAAGAGGTCCTGGGTTTGAGTCCTGACATGCCACCGATCTTGTGCCTTTGAAAACGGCTTTCCTCACTTTACTCAGGTGAAGATGAGCATTGTGTTGTCCCGAGTTGGTGGCGGCAGTAAGTTAAAAAAAAAAACTTGAGTGCACCGTCACCACGCCTTGTAACTACATGTTGGATTATTAACGAAAAAATGCTTGAACAAAATTCTACTATTGCTTTCATCATCATTCTGTTGGTTAAAAGTTTTCGGTAAGTGATCCTAATACCGCTAACAAGTTCACATTTTTATTATTATTTTGCTATTATTGCTGAACAATGACAACCTATTTCCTATGTTATTCAGGTCGGCTTAAAATCTGTCATCACCTCAAAGGGCATTATCATCGATGACACCCCGCCAGACGTTGGAATCCTCACCTGCTCTCGATACGTCCAACCTAGGGTACCGATCGTCTGCACATGGACCGGTTTTCACGACAAAGAGAGCGACATTTCCCACTATGTCTTCGGTGTCGGCACTGACGAGGGCGATGACTCCATTTATAACTTCACACTTGTTTCTGCAGATCTTTCAAGTACGGATAAACTGCTCACAGGTAGGAGAAATGGATGGTAGGCTGCTGAAACCTGTATGTGAACGTCCTCATTGATTAGATATGGCTTTAGTGTTCCTGTTACAATATATCATGACTTGACCTGCTCATTTTTATTGAAAAAAATGTGTGATGCTATATATATTGTATTGCAGGTGTAACTCTTGAACACGGTGGTGCCTACTACGCAACCCTAACTGCCGTGAATGGAGGAGGATTGCAAGCGCAGGCCTTCTCTGAGCCAATCACAGTCGACATGACTCCGCCGGTTCCTGGACTAGTCATCGAACTGACCGGGGTTCATCTAATCGAGCTGCAAGGACGTGAAAACATGAGTGATGCGGAAATTGGTAACTCACGAGAAGGTGAAAGAAGCTGTTTGTAGACGTTGCGTCGAGCTGTATTTCCTTATCGGTCAATTTCTTTCCATCCCATGACAGTGTAATTAAATATGATTTTTTTTCTTCCTAAGACTGTGAGAAACACAATGCAGTCTGCCAGAAGTCCCTTACGTCAGTGTACGCAGCATGGGAGGACTTCCTGGACCCTGAGTCTCCTATCATCAGGTACCAAAATGTTTCATTAGATAATTTTGAAATTCATCAGTAATTCAGTGATCTGTAATTCGTTTCTAATACCACGTAACCATTTGATATTTACAGGTACGAAATTGCAGTTGGTACAGAACCAGGTCTGTCCGACATATCACCATTCACAAACGTCGAAGCTGGAAAGCGCAATGCCGTAGCAGATGGCCTTGACCTAAGTCAAACTTCCCAAGTGTTTGTCATGGTGAGGGCACATAACGCAGCAGGACTGGTGAATACGGCCACGTCTGACGGTGTGTTTGTCAGCAGAGTCAGCTCAGGTCTCATGCCTCTCCGTCCGCCGATGGTTTACGATGGAGAAACTATTGGGGAAGACCTGTGAGTACAAACCCAGAGCAATAAACATCTGTTAGTTGTTGCTGAGGTAACTCAATAGCAATGTTAAGTGATTATTGCAACCTTGGTTGGAAGTAGCATTTTTGCAATGGATTCTGTCTCGGAGTAACTTACGTTTTTATTTATTTATCTATTGTTAAACTGTGTACGCAGGGACTATCAAGAGCGAACAGATCAGCTGGCTGCTACCTGGGACTTCAGTGGAGATCCCTGTCCCATCGTGAAATACGAGTGGTCCATCGTCCGTGTTGATGAGCATGTCTTGCAGCCACTGACAGCTGTTCCAGAGGGTATATTTTAGTCATTACAATAAAATATGTTTTTCGGAATTGAGTGATATATTGTATGCTAATCACTCTAATATGACACTTATTGGTTTTCCTTATTATTGGATGACAGGCCAGATGTATGGTCAAAACGATGAAGTGGATCTGATGGATAAACAGACATACTATTCTATCGTGCGGGCAACAAACGCCCTGGGGTACAGCTACTTCGTACGTTCTGACGGCATCACTATCACCAAGGAACCCCTTCTCCCTGGCCATGTGAGAGATGGTAGTATAGTTGGGGTGGACCTGAAAGGCCAGCCATCTATCACTACAATTTCGGCGAACTGGGATCAATTTGGAGGTTAGTGCTTTATCAAACATATTATAAAATATACTTCCCACTTCACTTGTAATGCTACTAAAAAGAATTTTAACTTAACAAGATTTCGCTGCATATACAAAGTGTGTTGTTGTTGTTGTTGTTTGGCTATGGGAGAGAGAGAGTGAGTAAGTGAGTGAGTTGTAGTTTTATACACGATATAACTTGCACAGCCTACAGGCTATAGTGAAAGCCATCTTCTAGCTAAAGAGCACGTTATTCTCCAGTACTAAAAATATACGTGGCACGTCTCGACGGCTAAGATTACTGCGAGACTGTGAATTACACGTGATGATTTACATTTTGTTCACGATGCATTATATTTGAATACTTTGCCGCCCGTTTCAATAAAAAAATAATGCAGGTTCAGCCATGGAGATACAGTACTACGAAATCGCCGTAGGGTCCGACAGAAGGTTCCCGAGCACACGGAGCGACCTCCATCCTTTCGAGAACGTCGGTCTCAACAGAACAGCCACATTTACAGACCTTCGACTGGTACCAGGAGGCGTCTACTACGCCACCGTAAGAGCAACGGGCGTTTCTACTGCCATCGCAGAGGTCACTTCAAATGGAATCACTGTCGGCGTTGGGGGTGAACCTCCGCAGCCACAGAGTGTCGATATACCAAGGTCTCGTATGGTCTCTCTTGAATAATTATGCTAAAAGAATCCAGTTGTCCTCCATTTGTTCTTCAAACGTAACATCATTTGCCAAGAAGTGCTGTGGCGTCGTATAGTCGATATCGTGGTCGATATTATTGGCAAGGATGTTGGACACTGTCACACAACCAAGAGGTCACGGGTTCGATACCCTGCATTCCTGGCAAGCCACCTGGACGTTTTGTCCTTGGGAAACGAACTTAAAACGAGTTTTCTCACTCTACCCGGGTTAAAATGGGTACCAGACACAGTAGCATAACAACCTTCTGCATTTAACTAGTACCTTAACAGTTTAAGAGATTGTAGTTTGTAGTGTGTAGTGTGAATGGAATGTAGCGTAAATTTTAATACATAATATTCTCTTTATACACACAGTTACTGTACGTTTCACACATCGTGTTTCCTTTTTCAGGTTTATCTCTTCTAATGAAGCTATTACCTTTGCATGGGACGACTTCCTGTCTGAAACGCCGATGCTGTTCTATCAATGGGGTATGACTAGCAGGGCACCTGCGGAAATACAGGGCCGTTCGTGCAAGGAAATGGTAAAGTCATGTGCTTGAATTTTTGAATATATGCTTGTGCCAATTTAAGTTTAATTTTCCTTCTATCCTGTCATCGATGATCGAGGATAACTCTAGAACAAATCTTCAGACCTCCTTTTAATGATACCTGTCTTTGTCTTCAGCAAGAGTTCCGGGAGTCCGAGGCCGTGTCGGTCCCAGAGAATATCAGGCATCTCTTTGACATCCATCCCTTAACTACAGTTGGGAAGGACACCATGGTAGAACAAGATGGCTTGTCACTGGAACACGGGAAGACCTACACAATCGTCATAGTTGGGACAAATGAAGCCTCCGAGTGTGTTACTGCCCTTCATGAGGTGTCGGTAGACACTACACCACCGACTGGTGGGACAATTCTGGCTGGAGAAAGAGACCTTGAAGTAACTTTTCTTCACTGTTCAATCAGACTCTATATCTCTGGTATCAGTGCTTTATTATGCTAACGTAGGCAGCAAAACCCTGTGCGTTGAAAAAGGTGTCGTGTTATTATGAAACGTTAAAATCAATAAAATGATATCATATTTTCTCCTCTCCTAGAATATCCACTTCGTCAGGAGTGCCGACGTATTGCACGTGAAGTGGGAGGGTTTCCATGATGAGGACAGTGGTGTGAAGAGTGTAGAAGTGGCGCTGTACGAGAGGATGACGTGTTCTGACTCGTCCGGAACGCTAGTTGCTGTTTCGGAGGCTATCAATGTTCCGTTGAACTCGTCTGACTATCTTTTTAGGGAGATCTCACTACAGGTAGGGGGGGATCATTTACCGGATGCACAATATATTTTGATAACAGGACGATGCAATCATTGGTTTCTTTCTTTAAGTAAATCTTTTCGTGGGTTGATTACTTTCACAGCGGTATAGTTCATCACTAGTGGCGGTGTATTTTGCTACTGTGAAAGGCATTCGACTCAAAGTCCGTGGTTTAGGACCTTTAAGTCACATAGCTTGAATAACCTAACAATATAGTTACAAAGTTTCTGGCTGTCCGAAAAGCCTGATAAAAAAGGTGACGGGTGCTAAGTATTAACTAATTTATAATTATGTCGGTAAAGGACAGACATCCAGGTAATAAGATACGCTAAAACAGTTACTCAAGAAACTGGATATTATTTTGGACACGGCCATTGACCGTTGACATTTTCCAAAATCATAGCTAGTTTCTTGAGTAATTTATAATTACCCCATGGCTGGGGATTTTGTTACTTTATGTGACAATATTTCTTCACAGGCGTGTAACGCATAAATTCTTTACATGCATCTGCAATTCTCGTCCAAGTCGATGCGTAAATACATTTAATTTAATTGAAATATATCATACTATGTTTCATACTCCAGGTTGATGTACCATACTACGTGCAACTGAAGGTCACGAACAATGCTGAATTGTCATCACTTTTTACGAGTTCCCCGGTCCTGTTGGATCTGACCGACCCAATCGCCGGTGTTGTGGTCGACGGGCTTGACTTCAAAAGAGACAGAGGCTACCAGAACTACACAGACAAAATGGAAGGTTAATGCATGTTCTTATAATCTTGTCGAGAGATGACGATGATGATGATGATGATGATGACTGGTTTATTGAACGAAACTTAACCCAATCTGACATAGCTGTCAGAAGATTGAATTAGCGTCAGGCTTTACAAAAGACAATAAGATCAGTCAAGTGGATAAAATCTAATAACACCTAAAATATCTTAACACATTAAAAGAGTGGTCTCTTTGCTCTAGCTTGCGTTATTCAGCAGAGCCCGAAACAAAAAGTATTGGCCCTACTTTCTCCAGGTATTTTCCTTCACCTCCCCAATCCCGATGGGGATTCCTGCCCCAGGCGGAGATACGATTTTGGTACTGAAAGTGAAGATTGGTCTGCTGTTCTCACAACTGGGATGTGGAAAGTGAGCAGGACTGATACCATCCTATTTTTACCAGACCAGGTATGACTTCAATTTTTTTTCGTTATTAATTTCAAGAAGTGCTTATATAACTCGTTCATTTGTGAGCAGTATCAAGTGCTGATAAACCATTAGAATGTGTCACATGACAATGATTATTCGTTTTGCGGTCATCTTTAGATATCTTACTGGGAAGATGATGGTCTTGAGATAAAAATGCACCGAGACGTAAGAGAACCAAGAATGAAGTCGGGTGCCGTTCACACCAAGGCGCATTTGCAAGAAGCGGGAAAGTACCAGGTAAAATCTGTTTAATTCTAACTGAGGATGCATCCAATATTTTAAACCGTCACAAACATCGAACGATGCGCCATATAGTTTTCTGTGACAATTTCTGTGACAAGTTAGAAGAAATGGTGGAATAGTTTACAAATTAAGGCATTGTATTCGTTTCGTCACAAACCTACAATGTACGCTCAGCCTGATAAACCTACAACGTATTCTATGACAAATTGTTGTTACATCACACGATGCATGTGGCTGGGGCTTAATTATAATAAGGTTACTGATGACTATTTTGACAACAGGTTACAATTCAAGCCGCCGGTGGGGACATCTCTGCTGTCACAAGTGTCACCTTCTGGGGAGGTCCAGAGGGAGTTGTGGTTGGGTTTGACACTGCTTTTGACGAATACGTCGAAGAGTCAACTGTGGCTGCATCCGAGGAATGTGACTGTTGTCTCAACACTACTACGTTTGCACCAGAGGTCGGACTGTATAATGGGACTTCCGATGGTAATCAATTTTTATTGCAGGTCTTTTATTTATGGGCTTTCTATTAAGACCAGAAAGAACGCAGAAGGGGAACTTTCAGGGAAAATATCTCCATAAGTATAAATAAAATATGATCATGTTGTCAACGGAAAATGCATGGAGATTGTTCTGTAGTAGACCCAATGACAATCTTCGCACACACAGAAAAACGTAAAGCGGCGGCCTATATGTGACAGTCTATTTCCTAACCCTAATTCGGACAAGTGACTGTCTTATGGGCGAACCCTAATTACAGTAGGACAAATGACAGTCTATTTCTTCGCCATGTTTCGGATAAGTGGCATTATAGTCTCTAGCCGTAATTAAAAAAATGACAAGGGACCCTAATCATGATTCCTAAAATATTTTCTATTGATAAATCATTATAGAAACGTTACAAACCGACCATAATGACCACAGTTTATACTCTGATGCAGCGGAGGTTTGCAACTGCAGTTGTTTAGCATCAGTCTTCACGGAATCTGTCGACAACACGGATCAGACAACTACAGATGACCCTTATAACCCTGCTTCAGACGTATTTTGGGAGTTCGAAAGAGAAACAGTCCCTGGTGACACCTACAATGGCACAGAAGAAGCATGGGGAAAGGAATATCCATCATTTGGACTGCAGCTACAAAAAGGTCAGTTTACTTGTTTAAACGATATGAGGCTGTATCATATCACCAGGATGATCGCAAACTCAGCCTCGGTGGTTTTGAAATTAATACATTTATTCCTTGTAAATGCTTGTGGACATATTTCAACATGGAGAAGTGATGAGGTAATAATAAATTATATGTTGTTTAACTTTGACAAAAATAAATTGATCTCGTCACAATTGATTTTGTTGACAAAATTTATTAACATTTTGATTAAGACAACCAATTTGAAACATAATAAATTCAAATATGTGTTGGTAATATGTACTCCATACGTCAGTGTATGTAAAATCATATATAAACATTTACACAGGGTTAGCAGCAGATGGCACAGAGAAGCATTATGCAGTGATGTGGCTACAGTCAGCCATTTTCGGACATGAACCTCAACAGGAACTGTTTGAACTGAACTTTGACCCGTCAGAGGCATTCCACGTGTATTCCATGGACTTTCGAGTTGACCGGACTGACCCAAAGAACGTACGTTTAATTTACCAAATTGCAATGTTGAAAATCTTTTTCGTACTATTCGTACTACTACTTTCATAATATCAATGCTGATTTGCATGTATGCTTTAATTGAATACAAATATAGTGACTAAAACGCATATTCTTGCAGTGTTTTTGTTCTTTAGATATAGTTTTAAGGTAAAATTTTACTGCATCGATACTAATATTTAACCGTTCTTAATGATCTTATATAGGAGATATGGTCTGTAGACCTCATCATTGACGGAACAGGAGCCTTAGCTTTATCAGGGTTACCTCCACTTCCGACCGACGCGGTTGTTACGTTCAGCGTCTGGAACTTTGAAGACTTTGTTCCAGATGTGGAGGACCCGTTTTATCCACCGACGGCAACAGCAAACTTTAAGGATGTGAAGTAAGATAAACGTCCTTTGAACAAAACAAGAATATTCTACGTACGGTGATGCATTCCATTTGTGAAAATGGAGATATATAAGTTAGCGGGGTGTTAGAGAAACAGCATGTCAGTTACATGATCATGAATGATAGTATAATTTTACGAACGAAGATTTACTTGTGAATACCTGACATTTTCTGTCCCCAGCTTTCCAGCGAGCTCGGACCAACTTTGTCGGTACGGCGAGCCTTTCCGCAATGGAGGCAGCGCCATTTTGTCATTCATGGCAGGAGTGGGGACTGAGGCATTCCAGGATGACGTTGTCTCTTTCAGGAGGGTATGTGATTGTGGCGACGCCTCAAGTGCGGAGCCTTCGTTAAAGCAATACGTTTTATTTTAAACATTGGGCAGCCCGAGAGTAAAATACAAAGATATAGGTAGCTCAACCCCTTGGCACACAGAGTCGAAAATTTCCTCCAGAACGCAAACGGTGGTTTGAGGATTAAACAGATATATTAAATGTTACTATATTGTGAGTGTGATATGACGCTTAAACATTCACAGAGGGAATACATGTTTGTCCTACAAATTGACTGAATTGTAAACCGGTTCTTTCATTCCAACCAAAATGCTTTTTCTATTCTATTCTATTCTATATGCTACTGAGCAAAGCCCTATCTAGGGCATCCCGCCCAGGGTGCACGGCTACTGCGGTGAATAAAAATGTGCATGAAAACAAAACAAAACAGAACATAAATGTGCGTTTTGTGCATAGCCGCAACTACGCAGTACCCAACTTACATCTGTGAGACGGGGTGGCCCAGGTGCAGGGCCAACCCCATCTTGAATGTGTCAACAGATTGTTGTGTTACTAGGTGTTCTGGTAGTGTGTTCAGTCCTATGATGGTTCTCGGAAAGTAGCTGGACCTGAATATGTTGGTTTTGCAGCTGAGAGTTATGTATCGGAGGGGGTGGCCCCTTGTAGTGTTTGTGTTCTTTGTGATGTAATGTTGTGTAGGTATGGCTACTAAACTGTGTACGGCCTTGAAGAATAGGACTAATCGAGCTTGTTTTCTTCTTTGTTGGGGTGTTGGCCATCCGAGCTTGTATTGAAGCTGTGTCGCACTGCACTGGTAGTGTGCCTGTAATCCTTGAACACAGACCTGGCTGCCCGCTTCTGAATAGCCTCTAACTTTTCTTCTAACACGCTAGATTTGGCGTCTTGCCCTCTCTGGGGGTCCCAGATTACAGAGGCGTATTCTAGTTTAGGTCTAACTAGAGAAGTATAGGCTTTCGCCCTTACCTCATTTGATGCCCCCCCCCCCTGATATTCCTCCTGAGAAAACCCAAAGTGCTGCTGGCCTTGGCTGTAATACTGTTGAAATGTGTTGACCACTTGACGTTTATGTTATTGATATATAATAAGAAAAGGAGGGGGCTTTATTCACTTTTGCTGTTCTCTTGTAGGTTCCTGACCACTCGTGCATTCCATGTTTGAAGGATTGTGACAACTTCTACTGTTCCAATGACTGCGATGGTTCCGAGGCTACAGAATATCATGTATTGTTGGACAACTTGGCCCTAGATGTAAACAGTACTGTCGAAGATGGTGCTGATAACGTAACGGTCCCAGCGAAATACTATATGACAATTAAAGCAAGAACAGGTGCGTTGCTACTTTAATTTCACTACAATTGTCAATGGAATGTTTTCCTTACAAATGTAATGGTACGTACATAGTATAAGATGTAGTTTTGTCGACTCAATCGTCATAGCTCTAAAGGTGTGTGTGTTAAACTTGATTTGCCAACTTCAGCATCGGGAAGACAGGTCGTTACATCATCCGATGGAGTTTACATAGACGTAACACCACCGAGGTTTGAATCCCTATTCCACGTGGACACATCATGGTCAACGGACGAACCATCAGAATTCCAAGGATCAAATTCTTCCATCGCTGTTCGCTGGAGAGCTATAGACATGGGAAGCAAGGTAATGCATACAGATACGTATGTTAATGACTCACTCACTCACTCACTCACTCACTCACTCACTCACTCACTCACTCACTCACTCACTCACTCACTCACTCACTCACTCACTCACTCACTAGGTCCCGCACAGCTGTGAGCCATAGGGACATTTTTTTAGTAGTCTGATGAGTATACAATATGTATATCTGAACGAAAAATTGCCTGTAGGTAACGAAGTTACATCAGGTAAATTTTCCCCCTCTAGATTACTGAATACCGTTGGGCTATCGGTACTTCTAAAGGCAGCAGTGATATTCGAGAGTTTTACACCATCATCCCAACTGACGAGAAAGATGTCCTTGCTGTAGCGGAAGATTTAGAGGGTCTTCTTGAAGATGGCGAGGTCTACTACGTTACTGTAGTGGCTCTCAACTTAGCTGGACTCGAGGAGACTGTATACACCAATGGTAAATATTGGATTGCAAGATGTATATATACAAGATGTAACCAAAACGCTATACACACAAGTACACACAAGTACACTATGTATATATATATATATACATATACATACATAGTGTACTTGTGTGTACTTGTGTGTATAGCGTTTTGGTTACATCTTGTTTGAAAACGTTGCTTTGGGTTACACGTTTTACAAGTCTTACTGTAGTTCAGATTGTCTTTCTTTCTTGTTTTTCTTATAAGGCCACAGCAAGCAAATTTAATGGATGTTATCCTCTGCAGACTCCAAATCTAATTCTATAGGGTAAAAAAAAGGCGGGCAAAAAAATACTACATTGTCAACTTTCGGCATTATTAACATTGTAAGCAAGTAATTATACCTATATTGTGGTCAGTTTACTGCCAACTATTTTAACACCCATTTCGCACTGAAACAACGTTGAAAAAATACGTTTTCAATCATTGCACAAATGGTTTTAATTCAGTGGGTGCATCACATATACAAAGCCACCATCTCAAAGGAAAGAAATAAAATACATACCTGCGTCAAAGTAAAATGACAAAGCAAGAAATCAGAGCCTTGTCTAGTCTCCTCTCTTCATATTTATCTGCCATTCAAGTTTCAGCGTGGCAACAGACATGACATCTTTGTTAGCCACTGTCATGGGGCAACCGTTTGTTTTTTCAAAATGAAGCGAAAATTAATGCACCCGCTAATCTCATCCGTAAAAATTACTTGCTGTGCCCTAATGTCATTTGCATAGAATAGAGACTTGGAAATAGTAATAGTTCATAGCACATTTGCGTTTTTACAGGTGTAACTGTTTTGATGACTGAACCGAACACCACGAGTGCCAACATCTCCGTCCCAGGCGCCGTGCAGATAGCTCCTAACGTAGTGTCCACTGAGGATCAGACAAATCTCGGTTTCATTTGGACTGCAGTAGAGGACGCCGGCATCAATGCGTACTGTAAGTTGATTCACTCCTAAAAAACACTGCAATATTAAAAGTCAACAGCTGTTTTTGAACCAACGTCTGGCATGAAGCAGTAGTTTTAATAACAAAGAAAAAAAAAGAAAAATACCAGTTTCTGCACGTACACTGATGAATCTGCTTTGACGAAATTCTCCTCTTAGTACGCTCCGAATAGAACTATACAGTGCTCACCAACTATTTGCATCACTGACATTGGCATAAAACTGGGATCTGCATAAAATTCTGAAAACCCAAACCATTTCCCATTCACTACATTATAAATTGCATGGCATAATTGCATGAGCTGTTATGACTTTAACCTGATATTGGACTAAATATTTCCAGGTCAATGGCACACTGACCCAGAAGTACGTGAAAGAAATACATGTAATTTGTTGCGCATCAGCAAATCCGCATGAAGTCCATTGTTATTCATTCATTATCACCCCTGCACCCCCCATTGTCACACACTTTCTCTGTTGTCACTTGCTTCTGGACAGGTGAGAACCCCCCAATCACTGATTGTGTGAAAAGAAGTCCTTTGTTCCTTTTTGGTGTCCTTGATTGGACCGTTGTTTTAGGTTTGGTAAGCTTTTGCCCAACACTATGAAGGTGGAATGTGTCTGATCTTCTATCTCCATGTTAGCCCTGTTCATTATGAGTTTCTGAATGCGACTTGAAGATTAGAATATGGTACATGTATGTAGTTGTGGGTGAAAGTGAGTATATAAATACCAATAACATCATGTCTGTGGTTGTTTCAATTGGCCCCAGCCCAGTATCATCCATAACCAACTGACCTCCCATCCCTGTCGGTCGTGTGGACTCTCCTAAGGTTATTGGACTAAACCTGTTATAGGAATAAAATTCCCTGACAAATCGTCCATGCAAATAACAGGAGAGCACTGTATTTTGTCTATTTGGACAAACGTGTTTCACGCAACAGGATAAAAGCACACATGACGTATGAATGTAAAGTAGCATCAATCACACAAAAATCACGTATCATGTTGTACGTAGAGTTCCTCATTGTCTCCGGTGCGTTTCGATCTTCCCTCTCCTTGAAAGCTATTCAGATTTTTTAGAATAAATATATATAATTAATGGTTGATTAAACAATGTAACACAATTCCAAATGTATAATTATAATCTGTTGGTGGGTAAAGAATTGTGGAGAATTTTGTACTGTACTATCTAGCTATGGAGTATTACAGGATATTTGCTCATATGCAAATTCGTCACGATATGATATTTCTGTCATTTCGAGTGTCTTACACTATTCACCATGCAGACTTCAGTGTTGGTAGCGCAAAGAACATACCGGATGACATCGTTCCCCGCACTCAAGTCGGAGTTAATGGTTCCGGATACATTTCCATTCATGACGGCATCGTTGAATTTGAGGGGTTCAACGGTGACCTCTCCGAGATGAGAGAGAGGACTATCGGTGATGCCAACAAAACGTTTCCAAACAATTTTCTGATGGAGCCTGGAAGGTGGGCAATGTTTAACCTTTCTAGTCTACGTTTCGAAAAAAAAAAACCCTTTGTAATTAATTTCGTCACCGTTGTCAGTATTTAGTTATACCCTGTCTGTGTTGTAACACATTTTGTCAATGCTAAAAGTATTCAAATAAGAATAAAGTAGATTCATTCGTCACGCTAACCACAGTCGTCCCTCAATAAGACAACTTGAGCCTCGTATTTCCCGACTAGAATTTTTACTTGCATTCAAATACATACAATAATGCCCCGTCTAATTTAGGGACCTTTGCTTTATCAATAAATGAGAGTTTTTGCCCTTCTTTTTTTTCCAGAAATCTGTTCGTACATATGGATGCGTGTAATGCAGGCCATAGATGTAGCGGAATGCAGTCACCCACTGTTGTGATACACCGTAAGTAGACCTATTTCGATTAGAAAAATTAAAAAAAAACTAACAGTTGTTTTAAAATCAGGACAAAGTCCTATGTAGATTAAAAAATAATTAATTAATAAAATCCTTTTATTATTTTTAGGTGACAGTGATACAATTGGAACATCAACGAATGGAGAAGATCTTACCTTGGAATGCGTAGACGGGGCCAATGCTACAGTGGTCGTGAAAACTACTGGAGGCTAGTATTTTTATGACCATCATTATTTGAATTTCATTTCTTTGGCATCACATACCTGTATTTTGTTTGTTAGCATTTGTGAATATTTTTGCACATGTCAATATTACAAATTAATAATCACCTATCATACAATTGCACATGCCAAATATTACAAATTAATAATCACTTATCATATAGGTTTGCACGCTGGAGAAAGAATTGTGTGCAGTCCATTGTCCAAACAGGACGTTGGGCAGGAGTATACATCAGACGCGTCAGCCAGGTTCAAGCCCATCATTGTCAACCCCTACCTAACAGCGGAACTTACGGACAGAAACCTGCGACACAGGTAATGTTTTACGTAATCCGATTCCTTCATCTTATTTTCTAGTTGGAATGTAATTTTCTTTCATGCTGAGGTGATTATGGTGTTTTAACAGAAAATGAAGATGCATTAGAACAATCTGTGCATATGTTCCTACAGGATTCGTAAATTCACCGACCACAGCTTCGTGCTAAGTCCAGTTGCTGATCATGAGTTACAAGGCCCCCTCAACATCACAGTCACCATAGAGAACCTGACGGCAGCACCTTCTGAGGTTTTTAGACTGCTCTTCTGGCATGCAGGTAGGGTTATTCCTCTGCTATACTGTAAAAGAAAGAAAATGTATTTAATTTAGAAGGGGCTAAGTTTTAACAATGGCACAGTTGCTCCAGTCGAATACTACGGAAACTATGTGCTGATTTTTCTTTCTGAATTTACGATTTCAAATATTTTATCCAGATTCAGAGACGTGGCAGGATGCCGGACGTACATGCCAATCCTCCGCACAAACATACACGTCCAAAAACACATCGGAGTTCAACGTTCAGGTGAGGAAATGAAAAGGGTCATCGTGAAATTGCATCGTGTACATTTTGCAACTATTGTGTGAGTCAGCACAACCAGTTGGCACAACACACTGCATCTGTCGTTTATAGCCAGTATAACTACCATTCGATGTAACACACCAACTTAATATGTATCTGTATGGTTGGTAATTGGTATAACTGCCATTCAATACATCACCCTAACTTCTGTATCTGTATCAGTAGAGCTGGTACATGCATAACAGCCCTTTGGCGCCGCACACTAACTTGCTGAGGAAGTTTTACAGTACTATAATATGATGATAGACCATGTATGACAAATTTATTCTTATTGTACTTTTTTCTAGGTTTGCAACACCAGCAACGTTCTCACAGATCCTAATTCCATACATCCTGAAAAAATGTCTCAGCAGGGAGGCACCTTCCTTGGAAAAGAGACATTCTTTGTCGTTGCGCTCGTCGATTCATCTTTCCAAAACAGTGCACCGCGCCTCGCCGTGTCACCCTACCTGTGGACCTATGAGGATATCCCGATTGTAACATACTTGGAGGCGGTAGATGACGACGATGACGACGTAACGTTCAGTATAGACAGGTCTACTGAGACTTTGTTCATCGGAGAAGTTGAAATTGAGCCGAATGGGAAACTCCGCTATACACCATGCAAAGACTGCGTTGGCAAGGACCTTGTAACTGTTGTTATGAGTGAGAACAGGAACGATGGAGAAACGCCACTGGTGACGAGAGAGACAATCAACATTGATGTCGTCGCTCTTGAAGACAACCCCGACGTATTTGCAGTGAAGAATGGAGTGAAGGTAAACAGCACAGGTGACTCCATCACAGTTACACTGGAGGAGAACACAGCGCAAAGAGTAAACCAATCGAGGTACGATGTCCTGATCTTTGGATCGGACATAGATACGCATGATGTCTTGTCCCTGGTATTCCACGACCCAAGCAATGGCACTTTGGCCTTGTCAAAGATGGTGCGAAACATCACCTTCCTCTATGATGACACCGGCGACCGTACCACGGTAGTGGATGGCGATAAGTTTGCAAATGAGTTGGCAGAGGAAGTGTCCATCCCCTACCCACAGAACCTCCTGATGCCACACCGACCAGAGAAGTACTCCTGGGTAGCGGTTGGCTTCACATACGTTCCGGACATGACCTTCTATGGACATGATCAGGTCAGGGTGTATGCTCATGACCAGAGTGGCAAACGTTCCGACGTACTTACCTTTAACATCTTCGTCCTTGAAAACCGCTGTATGAATGGCGGCTTGTGCACCGGTCCCGACCACGATCCAAACTGCACAGACGTTCAGCGGAGCGTCTCCTTCAATGGGTACGAATGCGCATGCCTGGACGGTTACTACGGAAGGTACTGCGAGGGCGACTTTGACGAATGTTCCTCCAACCCCTGTCCGCAGAACTACACGTGTGTCGACCTTCCTAACGACTTCCTCTGTGATTGTGGCTCCCCGGCCTGGCCGTGCGCCTCGCAGTCCATCGCCACCATGGCAGATCGCACTCGTCACTCTCCTGTGTCTTGGTGTCACTATTGCTGTCGTCGTTTGGGCATTGTGTTACGCATCGAAGAAGGACAAGAATAAGATTGGGTAGGTACTAGTTATTATTCTGCATCTCTTTGTCTCTCTAAATCTCTGTATAAATCTTTGTCTCAGTTGCGAACTAAGAATGGGGTCCCGATATCGGGACCAATATCGGGACCCCATTCCTACCTGCAGTTGTCTCTCGTTATTGTTAAAAAACATGCTGATAGTCGTCAAGTTATAATTGTAATTTCATTTCATTTTTTTCAGTGATTTATTCATCCAGGGTATAACATTTCGCCACAAAGGGGGTTCATTGCTTCAATAGGAATTAGGAATCTATAGGGCTACATGCAAGGCTACATCATTGTATTGAATAAACCGAATACCCTAATTCTGGATTACTTTTATCTGAAGGCCACTCCGCATCTCAGATGAAGACATCGAGCTCACCAATATGCATACCGAAAGGCCAAGTGACCTCGTACAGCTAAAACAGAACCCGTGGGTTCGTCCTGAGCTGCCAACCGGGGCACCACAAGCACCGCAAGTCCCCCTGAAGGCCCTGAAAGAGACAAGTCTCAACAAGGTACTTAGTAAACTTTTACAGATTTATTAACGTAACATTGCAGTTAACACTACTAATACCTTATGGATATTAAAACCAGGCGGAATTCATGATCATGCACCACAATATTTTTAAACTTCCCATAAATTTATACTTTATTTGCATAATATTATTGTAATTTCCTGTCTTGTCATTGGGGCAACCCCTGAGTGTACCGAACAGCCAATCCAATAAGCAGATAAATAAATTTTATGTGGCATGATTTAGTCGTATCAAAATCAAGAATATTTCATTTCAACGAACGATCTATAAATATTCTTATGATACCGATTGTCACACAGACCAAGACAATGGGAAACCGCAGTGCACGCCGGCTGCCTCCCATCGAATGAACACGTCCACTCAACACGCGCCCGCTATTAACCCGTGGCACCTGGACAATGGATTGTGTAGCTTTGAACTTTCCGCTTTTGTTAGAGTCTCTTTCACACAAAATCAATTGGCTTTCTTTTAACTGGAGTTCAGCACAAAATATCTATTATAGAACATGCACCGTGTGAGTAGACTAATTTTGCATTATGGTAGAGTTTAAAGTGCTAGATGATTAAAATGGCATTGCTAATATCCAAATATATATATTCGAATATGCAAGTTACGTTCGGTCTTGGTTTTTTAAATGAATTATGATCCTATTAGAACATTAAACTCTCCAAGTTGCTGTTTTTACAAATTTGAGACAATCAAATAATACAATTAATTGCATCTAAGTGTAACCAACACTTGTGTGGAAAACTTCTTATCACGCTCTGGTGTTCCCTACGACAATAGCAGGAGGACCTCTTTTTTATCCAAAATGTATGGGTAAGAGACCACGTGAGATGAAAGTGACTTCGTGTGCATTGATGTGGGTTTGTTTAGATGGTAAAGTTCAGCTACAACTTCCCTTTAATACTTTGTATCCCTTATTTGATGTGTATTTCTTCGAAGACGGATTGCTTTGTTAGAAACGCTTTCTTACATGTAAAATTGTTGTAACTAACGTGTCAACAAGTAAATTCAACTGAATAAGCCAAAGAAACAGTTAATTTGTTAACATTTCAAGTTGCCTGAACATGCGATATGTAAGCTTCGTTATGACATCAGCATTTTGCAACATTCGTGTGAGAGAATAAACTGATATGATTAGATGTGGCTTTAAATTAACATTGTGTTTCGGACACTCATTTTTTCGAGCGTTGCGTAGCGAAAATCCGGATGGTACCCAGGCTACAGCTGACCAGGTTCGGCTTAGCCTCCTTCGCAGTCTTGTTGGGCGTCGGCGTTAGTTGGAGCGCGAATCCTTCTCTCCGCGGCAAAAACTCCCTCGGCAGCAAATCGTCCCTCGCGGCCGCATATTACTCGCGTCGCTCAGAGAAAAAATAACGCCAACGCCCAACAAGACTGCGAAGGAGGCTAATCTAGACCGGGCATTTTTGAGCTTGGTGGGACCGGGGGGGGGCTCTTTTGCCCCCCCCCCTCAGAACTCGAGAACGGTATGTCGTATGACCACCAAATTTTCAGAGGACGGTGTACTAGTAAAAATGTATCATATCTACAATTTTTATGTCGTTATGACGTTGTATGACGTAATGCGATTTTATTGGCGAAAACCGAAAAAGTTCGGCCGCTGAGTAGCTTCGACGTCAGAGGGAGCTTCAGATACAAAGGTTTGTTAAATTACAACATTTTTCTCGGTAAGATACCATTACATACACTAAACATATGTCATATCTAGACGTAGGTTATTAATACGAGTAGTATAATAATACTGTAATAAATAATTACATTAATTTATACTGTAATTCTTTGCTATTGTTATTCATATAATGTAAGCCAAACGCTGACCCGCATAGCTATTTGTTAATCATTATGTACTATTTCGACTTTGCCATGTAGTTTCAGTGCAATTAAGCTTGGTGTGTGTTGGTACATGTGTCGTCTTTCGAATATCTTTGTAGCTCTTTGCTATAGTTTTTGTAATGTAGCCCACGTAGCTAATTGTGAATTGTCATTTTCTGTAATACTACCAAAGAGTAGAGTAGAGTAATACA